ACTAGTTGCACTTTTTTGCATTTAGTCTAACGGGTGCACAAGATAAGTAAATAACAAAGTGACCCGAATTAAAGATTTTGTTTCTTAAAAAGCAATCAAATTTAAAATATCAATGAAGTATACCTTAATAGAGCCTGTGTTTCCACTCATCTAAATTTCTTTTACTGATATTGACAAATGATATCAGAAGTTATGTACGTTTTACTGCAAGAATATAGCTGTCAATGGAATGGCATTGGAAGCTATATTGAGCCGAGTGAGAATTACAGATTATGCACAAACATTCCAATACAAATGAGATTTTAATCATTTAAGTTAAGACTGAAACATTATTTTTACTGTCAGATTTTGTGTTTTGAATATGAGAAACAGTTCATCTATTTTTTTGGAAATATTAATGGCAATTTTGCTAGTATGTTTTCAGTTGCAAGTTCTCCTCCATTCATGAAGGTGGGAAAACGTCCATGTTTCATTGTATTAATGCCATAACAATATTCATCAGTTTTAGAACGGTAAATGATCAGTGGTGGACAGCTGAATTGGGTGATCTATTAAAAATAGAGTATGCAAATTACGTGAAATGTTCCCAGTTACTAGCCAATAACATGTACTTTATAATGGATGTGTTTCGTTTTATAAAATGGAGTGAACAACATATTTGTTTCAAATTCTGTCACTTTCGTTTCGACTCGCCCTGTATATAAAAATTATGTACAATCGATTGTACATGTATTAATTAGCTTCTGAATAGTCATAGGGGGCATGGAAAAGTACAATGACGAACTAATATACGACAAGATTAAAGGTAACGACAAACTAACAGTTATAGGGATATGTCCTAGTTTAAACTGCAGTTGCCGTTAATACATGGCATGATCGGTCGTGATTATTGATGCGCCGCCAGTGCCAACACCCGGTTTGTCCATTTTTGGCACTTAAGATCTGGTTTTGGCGAAAGCTGTTATTTAATTTTCTAGGCCAATGATCCCAGTCTGCGGCACAACAAGCATCTGTATTTCTGTATACAATTCACCCTCCGGACTGGGATTATCATGCACGGCGGATAAAGGGACCGTACCTCCATTATGGTTTAAGCATGGTTAAAGCTAGCGAAGAACAACTCAGTTATACGTTTTTTAAGACTCTTGATTTTCTCTTAAAGGGAAGATACAACATTTGAAAACATCAAAAAACAAAATGATCAAATTATCACGAAATATGTTACTGACTGTAAGGGAATGACAGTCTAAAGTATCCTTTAAAATCTCGGCTCCTGGTGTGCTGACATTTCAGGAAAACTTATATTTTTCCAACGCTGGTCGGCCGACTAGCGTTGCAGCGTTGGAGAAAACTGGCTTTAAAAAAAAACACTGCTTCTTCTTTTTCACATTTAGTTATTCCACATTTTCTTCGTAATTGATTACACACCTGTGAAGGGGTACAAGCCTGCTAGACTGATTCTCTGACCTTACAATTCCCCAAAGTCTATAAATTGCTCCGTTTCATTATAAGTTGGGTCAGGGAACCAGACTACAAGAACATGGTTGGTTTTCTTGGATTTCCCAGCATCTCCGAACCCAAAACGTGAAGCAAGTACATACTAATCCTCCAAATCCATCAATTTCTGAAAATTGCAGCAAAAGCAAATGTTGTACATTTCCTTTAAGTGCTGTACAAAACTAGCACATGATACAGTTTTTTGCCCCGTTGTTTTAGTATTAGCTGTCATGGCTTTGCCGAGCAACACATCTGTAACGGAAAACATCATCTGGTCCTTGTTCTTTTTCGAGGCCATTCAGGGGAAAAACAGCTATAGCGTGTTGAGCTTTAAGCTGGAACCATAGAGCGAAAGGTCGGGTTTCTATTGATTTCTCATTTGAACTTGAGATATATACAAACGTTAAAGGAAATCAACTTGGCCGCAGGGCTGTTTATTTTAAGTAAGGTACGAGAATGGCGTTGAGGTGTGAATATGGGATTAACATGTTAGCCCCCTCAAGGGTAAGGACGGCTTCTCGAGAGCATAGCCTGGGATGTCGGGTCTTGGGGAATAGTTTGAGGGACCTTACGGGTAAATCGTAAGGGCTACTACAGTTCCAGGCTAGCTGATCGGTATAATTTTTATATTGATCATTCAACAGGTTTGGGTAGACACCTCCGGGTTCAAAAGATGAACTAAACATGTAAACATTGACCACATTGGTATGTTATGACTTCCTGCGTGGCGGGGTGTATAGAGACACCTCGGAAAAAAAAATGTTTAAAGAATTTGGATTCGTATATATAAGATTATGTCACAGGTATACTAGGTGTTCATTCGGTGATGTGATGAAATGAGGCTTGCTGGGCGGGCTGTGCCGAGCGCAGTGGCGTAGTCACGGAAGGGGGGGGGTGTGGGGGGTGACAGCCCCCCCATGAAACCTTGTCGCCCCCCAGTCCCCCCCCCCCCATTGAGATTTTGAGTTTCTAAAAAAATTATCATTGATCTACATGACGCCCCCCCCCCCCGACGAAATGTTCCAGCCCCCCCCCCCCAGCGCCCCCCACTGAAAAATTCCTGGCTACGCCACTGGCCGAGCGTCATTTAAATTTGGGCTGGCTGTCAGATACATTTCCAATTATTGGTTGCAGTGCTCAACAAGAGCTTTTCTGTTTCTCAATTATCCTATGCCTTTGATATTTTCGGCAAAAACGAAAATCCCTTTGTTTACTGGATGTGAGTGGTTTTTTTTTACCAAACAACATAATCCAACCTCGTCCCCAGACAGGCCAGTCGCCAAGTCGGGGGGGGGGGGGGGCTGGGGGGGGGCGCCCCCCCCCCCCTTGGCGAGCGATTGGCCCCCAAACGGCAAAAGCCATACATATGTATTTTGTTTATGGTAGTGGGCCCAGTGGTTGGTACTATGGCCCCTTATGCTTAGGGCTGGCGACGGGACTGTCCCCAGAGCTTTCTTTATTTTCAATCTCGTTTCCAATAGTAAGCCTTGGCATTGAAACGTGCTGCTTGTATCCCGATTCGATACCGAAATTAGCAAGTAATGGATTTATATCGTGTACTTGGTGTTGTTATTTTCAGCATTGTAATGATTACGTCCACACCTCAAAAAATAATCCCTTCCTTTCCAATTTGCTCATATTAATATGAAATGTGATACTGCACATTGACTGGATAAGATAGTATCCTGATCATTTTAAGTTTGATGAAAAATAATCGTGTTTTTTTTCGTATCTCACACCACGACGAATTGAGGCTGTTTTTATCCAACAAAACTGGATATGCAAATGAGCCAATACTAGGGTGACAGAGCAGGTAGAGTTGGGAGCGTACTGCTATACACAATGGGAACGAGGTCGAGCATCATCCCCCTCATCGTATTATATCTCATTCGCAAAGTTTTTTTTTAAAATGACACGCTGTGACCATAGCAAACTAGAGTCACATTATGCAACTTCCCTGGATCAGGGCTTCAAAATAGGAAACGGAGAAGACAAAAAAAAATGATCATTGCACTGTTGCTACACAAGTGATTCCTTGCACTGTTGTTAAATTATAGACCGAAGAAAGTGACCCGCCATCTTGCATCACCCAAAACGCTGTACATGTTAACTCTGACGAAAACAACTTGCAGCCTCGTTTCCATAGGTACGATCTTGCTGCGCCATGTTGGTGGTTCCAATCATTGCGCGATCTGAAGGAACGCGCATGTGCCAATGGAGTCGAGGCTAATTGCTTGTCGTAAAAATAAACCACGTGGCGGACGCCTGCTTCAATGCGTGGGCAATGTCAGCCAGTTAGTCAGTGCATGGAGCTATAAAAAGGACTCCATGGTCAGTGGTTCCTGAATTCCGACTTTCAAGATAACTACAAACTTTAAGTTGCACTCAATAAAAGCAAGGAGCACTTCTTTGAATGGATTTGTTCGTTATTTTCCAAATTGGAAGCATGCTGTTATTCAGTCATGTAAACAATTTGCCCCCTTGTGGTGACCCAATTGCATTGTCTCAGACTAATGTTATCAGTGGTTCTCTGCGTGTTCCTGTTTACTTTTGCCGGCTCACGCTAAAAAGCGGAGGAGTATACCACTGATTCGTTGAGGCCATTAAGATCGAAAAGTTTGTTATCCATAGTCACTTGTTTGTGTGGCAGGGCCAAGTGTGTCGTTTTTCCATGTTACATTTGGGGTTTTTTTCTTTGGGCGGTGACTGAACTTTCATTTTCGTGTATAGTGCGACAAAAAAACCACATACATGAACCAATGTATGAATCAACGTGTTCTTGTCTTCATGTTATCACATCAAGAAAACGACTGACCTTAACATTATTACCCCTGATACCCCCCACCCCCAAGTCCATGTGACTCGAGTACTCGGCTCACCGGTTAGGCTGGTTAAACAGATATTCTTTCTTAATCTTTCGAGGCAAACGATTAACTCCTTGTTCGAAGGGTGTTGTTGAGGAAATTGTCTTGCCCAAGGACACAAGCGAGAAGATGTCAAGTTTGGATTTGAACCTAATGAACGTTCGGGTACCCGATGAGCCATATAAATGTACCTTACTCTCTGCGTCATTTTGGGTGAATGACTTCTCAACGAGACAGGAAGAACATTGACTTGAGTTTTTGTTGATACAACAAATAATGTTCAGTCTATAGAGATGAAATCATATAGTACTTGTTTTTGACTGTCTGTACATCGGCTCAAGGATAACGGTTTGAACAATATTTTGTACTTGTCTTCTACTGAAGCAAGCATGTTTACATATAGAACTGCAACCCAGTATAATTTCCAAACAGCTAGGCCCTATAAGAAAGACGTGGACTACGAAAACAACAGGCTCCAAATTTGGGTTATCTTGTTTTTATCTGCTAATCCAGGAGGGGAAAAATGGAATTCTCTCAGCCCAGTCCCACGTTACCAAAACAAAAAGGGCATTAGGAGACTTATCTGATGAACAACAACCAGTGCGAACTGTTCGTGTGAAACTTTCGATTTCAAATCAGAGCAATTGACTGGAAATTTGGCGCTATGCGAGGTATCCATGGATGTCGCCGTTATGTGTTGTGCGCCGGGATAAAACCACATGACTATTCGCTCGCATTACCTTTTTTATCAAACGCCACAGGTGACTCGTGAGTTGCACAACCAACTCGCCGCACATCCTGTTTGATATCGGACTGCCAAGGCTGAATTTGTTTCTTGGTTTTAAGCCAGCCTTTACCGCAAGAATACTTGAAGTGCATTGACCCCAAATACCGTAATTAAATAATGGTGAACATCAGTGATTTTTTTTATTATTCCAAGGAGGGGCTGGACCATATCAAAAACACCTTAAAGAAAGGAACATTGTGGAAAACAAATTCCATTAGGTCAGGACGGACTAAAAAAAGCATCTTCAAATTGAATATCATTCATTCCATTCCATATGGAACTTGTACTGAGGTTAAAAGGTGGCAAATCTACCGCAGTGCACCTCCTGTGGTCAACATGATTAGTACCATTGATGTCTGTTACTGCGCAACAGGTTGTGGGAAACTCAAAGCGGGTCCGAACCGAAGTTAAACCAATTGCACCTGAGGTCTGCATTTCAGTTGTCATTTTGACTTGGCCGTTTCCAGTCAAACACTGCATGCACACCAAAAACTGTGACATAATCGCCCCAGATTCGACAACTCCAACTTGAGAACTACTGAGGAATAACCCGGGAGGGTCAGATGTCAAATTCCACTGTGATGACCGCTCGGGCCGACTTGCCTTCCGGAAAAACTCTCGGCAACTCTCCTTTTTGCCATTGAGAAGCGACGATTGACAGCCTCTTGATCATCTCCAAACAAACACCGTTAAATCGCTGTGTATTGCCCCGAGCAAGTAGGCTAAGCTAAAAGGAGGAGTTTCTCGATCGGGCTGAAAAGCTAGCATGATCGAATTTGGCACTTCATCTGTGTTTTGGTACTGCGCCAAGGAGCTTCCAAGTTCTGCACTCCTATGCTAGAGCGTACGACGGAGGAGAGCATAGCTGAGGAACTCTCATTGATCGTGCGGTAGAAGAAGTGCCCGAATCATGGAGAAGAAGAGCGTGGATGTTGTTACCCAGGATGGCAGGAAACCCGCGCCCGCCAAACCTCCAGGTAGGCATCGTTAGTGACCACGGATTGACGTTTTAGTGTAGGCATGCACTTTCAGTATTCCCTCTCATTGCTGTTTGTCAATAAACAGAGGCACACGTTAATGAGCTGTAAATATTTGTAAATATGGCCGATTCTGGGCACGTGATCGCTGCACACCCACTGCCGCCACTCATGGAGAAACCATTGTACAAATTAAGTGCACTGTGGCGCATTGTCTGAGCAATAGCTAGCACTTTCGCCATGCGGGATGGTATTAATATTGTTTCCGGAATGGTCTATAAAGATTCGACCCTTTTCCATTATTAATGGGGAACGGATCTGACATAGCCCGACTATTACACATTGTTCTCGGGGACTCATTTTAAACGTGCATGTAAACGATTTCAGTGGATTAATTTTTTACTCTGGCAGTATGGTCGGTCTGTCTGTCCCCGGAAAATTGACCAAAAGTGTATGGTGTTCAATATGTGCCATCGGCGGGCTTCTTTTTCGCTGTCGCATTTTTTCAGCTCTGGCAGGGATCATTTTGAGCGATTTCATGCAAGACTTTCACGCCCGACTTCTTGCAACACGGCCAGAGCTTATTGTGCACTGACTCGCACTTGTTTTGACGATGTAGCAACATCGCCAGGCTCGCCAGGGTCACCCAGGACGGTGTAGAATAGGAGGAAACAGCCTCTTCATTATTATATGCATCCACTGAGTTGTCAGTTGCAAGAAAAAGTCCATCCATTGACACAAGGGCGGATACAGAGAGGTTACTGCCGGAGTGGATGGGCTGAGGCTGTGAGCGGGGTGGGGTGGGGGTGGAAGGGCTCTCACAAGTGAAAAATTGCCTCATTTGAGAAAGGTTCGGTCACTTCCGGAGGAGGGCACCCCCTGGCCCTCCGAACCTTCCTGGATACGCCACTGATTGATTAAATTTATAAAAAAGAAACAACCTTTTTATACTGGGAATGTTAGATCGTGTATTCCCAATTGTATTTTTTAGGTTAATCTGATTGACACTGACAGAGTTTATGCTGATATTCGTGGATGAAACGTAGGCCTCGCCGATAAACTTGAGGGGTTTGATGCTGCCGAATACTTTAATACAGGACAATCCTTTATTGAGGCAGTTGCTATGTATATTAACAGCAGACACAATTCTCTCGCCATACAAGGGGGCCTCGGTGAGTTTGCAGTACGACGACGTGCTCAGAATCGTCCACAGCATCAATATAATGTAGGTCAAGAACCAGAGATGGCTGTTTAAGTCAACAAAGAAGCAACATCGATCAAGGCAATGAGACGCGGCTTGTATATACTAGGCCTGCATGTGCTTGGCGGCTGGAAAACATGCCCAGGTCCACACTAGAGAGTTCTTCACGCAAGGTTGCCAAGCACCATTAGGCAGGACCTCCAAGTTCCCGATTCAGTCCCTCGATCCCCCTACCCGCTCAATAACATTCCCCGCTATCGGGTTCCCGGCCTCGTTCATGACCGACCACAAGAATACGACATTAAAGCCGGGCCAATTACCGAAATGTCATGGAATTAATGATCTCCAGGGTAAGATTTAGAGAGAGGGCGGAGAAAAAGCTGAAAGGACGATGTACTTATGTTACGCGCAGGCCGGGCTTGGCGCGCTTAGAGCCTACGGCTCGACATTACACACAAACTATGGTAGCAGCTACAGCCACTTCACATTGGCTCATGTGTAATCTCAAGCTGTAGCCAAGCAATACGGACGTGGTCTAATTTGTCTGTCACGTGATGATGATAGAGGAAGTGCGCATGTGCCTGCACATGCGTGGTTCGGAATAATTCACCTCCGCCAAGGAGGTTATGTCTTCATCGGCGTTGGGTTGTTTCTTTATTTGTTTGTTTGTTTGTTATTTGTTTGTTTGTCTGTTAACAGGATAACTCAAACAATTATGGACGGATTTTCATGAAATGTTTTGAGGGCTGGTCCTTGGTACAAGTAATTGATTAGATTATCGAAGTGATCTGGGTCTGGATGTCGGATTGTTAAGGATTCTTCGCCATTTTCTGTGTGCGAATATGCTATGTGTAGAGACGTGTGTTGGTCAGTGACGCAGCGTGCAGTCATGATGAGCGCATAGTGCACACACCATTGAAACCAACAGGTCAATGGACTCGACCATTTGATACTATGGGGAGTTGGGAATGTGAAATATAATGTGGAAGTCTCAGTGGATATGCGAGTATTTATATTGGGTGTACCGGCAATATGGCGTGGAATTGTTCAGCATTGGTGGAGGTTTGCGCTCTCTGAGTGCTTTCTAGTTTCTGTATGTTTTTAAAGACAGAAGTAGTTCACTGAAGTTGCACTGTGGTTTCCTGTCGAAGTGAACTACTGTATATTTTGACTTTTTGAAAATTCTGTAATAAGTTTTTTATAGAACTGTTTCTTGTACGTGTACTAATCTCTGGACAAATAATCTCTTGACAAATAGTCAGTCATCGTGCCGTGTACATGAAGTTAAGACCATGCACGTAAAATATACCATTTCAAGACGTGACTGTGCATGTAGGAGAAGACGGGAGTGTTGGGTATAAATAAGTTACGGCCGATCGGTACTGCTTCAATACACATACAGGATCTATGGATCTATGCCACGATGCAGTATGCTAGATGCACTTCCAAATAGTCAACGGTTTGCTCAGGCACGCTGCGTACCTTGTTGTGTTGCCCTGCACCGCTTGTAGTGCATCATTCAAGTTATTCTTCAAATGTAATTGACCTAGTCGTAATGTCCGTTGTATAACAAGTGTAAATGTTTAACATAACATACATTATGCGTTACAGGTGTCTCACGAGGTGTTCTTTAATTTAGTAAGAAGAATGCACAAAAGGATTACTCATGCCTTTCCAGGAAATACAATCGCATTACCCTCTAACTCCGCCTTAAAGGGAGTGTACATCATTGGCTTTTGCTGTAATTTTCAGAAATGAACTAGTTTGGGGGTTAGTATAATAGATCAAACACTGTTGCATTGACATGTTGGAAGTATTGTGTTCGAAAATCCTGGAAAAACCAAGGAAAACTAAAATGTTCAAGTAGTCTGGTTCCCTGACTCCACTAAAGATGAAATGGATTTTAAAAAATGCCGGAAAATTGTAAAGTAAGGGAACCAGTCTAGCTGACGTGCACCCGTTCATGAACATGTAACCAACAGCAAACAACATTTGGACTGAAAAGAAAAGGTAAATTCGGAGCAGTAGTGCCATAATTTTACAGGATGCTTTAGACTGTAATTTACCAACATCCTAGTAAGGTATTTCGTAACAACTTGGTAGTTTTATTTTTCGATGTTTGCAAATGTTGTATTTTCCCTTTAACGCATATCTATAATCAATTGGTGTTCAATAAAAGTGAATTATCAACGCACGTGCAGTGCAATATTTACTAAAATGGGAAGAATCATTATTCTTGTGCACAAACATAATCAGTTGATAATCCTCATAAATGTCCTCTTAGTTTCGGCATAGAGCTTTCGGCCAGGATAACATGATGTGCTCAGTTATTGCATGGAGGAATAGTCATTGTCAGTCAGTGTGTTATCTTGTCTAGAACTGCACAAATCGCCTGAGGTGGCTATCTTGCAATGTACAGTTGTCCATCATGCATCACTTGTGTCCTAACTTTGTTACTGCCCTGCCTGAAAGTTTGCTCTCTGTGCCTTTTGCTTTACTGAGGGTTACTGGCAACTTTCAACGGCTTGGATTCTTCCTTATTTTATAGCTCAGTATCGACGCCAAAGAGTATTTATATCGCATTTCTAGCCTCGCTTTTATTCCAAGTTGTCTTTTCTGCGTAAAGAGCATATTGGCAACCTCTAATACTCGAGTGAACGTATAAGAGTTGCCATTCTGGTTCAATAAGTCATTCAAAAATCCATGCATCTCATATGGTTTTTGTTTTTGCTTTAAATAAATGTATGTATCAAGAATATCGTACAAAAATGAAGCAGAACTGCGTAGCACTCTAGATAAGTATATAGGATGAAAATAAGTTAAAGCAGTGCTCACCAGGAATATTGGAGCTGAATTTTCGGCCTGACTAGGCCTTCATCAAACTCCCTGCTCCCAGTCCAACTCCCAGCTTAGATGAAGGCCTAGTCAGGCCGAAAATTCAGCTCCAATATTCCTGGTGAGCACTTTTACTCAGTTTCATCAAATAAACGTATCAATAATATTTGCATTTATTTCTGTCCCTGCGACTGTTCCATAGCGTTGTACGTGTGACTACGGAGGGGGTTGTTTCGCATGTTTACCATTAGGTGGTTACTTAACAGTCTGAGATGTAGCTCTGATAACTCCTTCAGTTTTAGCAGGAAGTATATAGGCGCATTTCAAATTAGAAGCCAACACGAGGCCGTCAGTGCTCAGCCATCGCACGGCCTTTCCCCTTTTTCTTTCGTCAATCGTCACCAACAAAGAGTGCTGGGATGCTCGCGGTTTCAATACTAGTCCGGAATTTGTCTTTTGATAATCACGCCGTCGTCGGTTCATTTTGCTGGGTCCTTAATTCCCACACTTAATTGTGTGTGTGAGTTTGTTTCTGCATTCCATAGGGGACGTTGAACAATAGAGGACAATAGGGTCCCCAATTCCCGAAGGTCTCCAATTTACGATCATGCACAAAACATAAGGGAGGTCGTCTTAAAAAGTTAGAGTACAAACAAAAGAGGGACAATAGGGGGTCCCCGATTGCAGGCAAATACACACGTGTGTGCTCTTGTATGGCTTTACGATCGAGGAAAGACACACAAAGGGAGAAGAAAAGATCCTTTCAGTCCTCGATCGTTGGGTCTTTCGTTGAAAACGGTCCTCGATCTTACGGATATGTGCTTAGACTATGGGATTGTTATATGAGAGGGACAAAGGGAAACACAAAGCATTGTCCTCGGGCGTATAGACATTCATGACTATGTGTGTGTTAGTGTGTTTTGAATATATTTTTATCCAATGTATTCCTCTCGTTTTCAGGTAGCTCAGTCAACCCCTTCGTCAACAACAACATGGAGGGCAGCCAACAGAAGCTGACCTTCGAGGAGCAAATTGGCCACAGGAAACCCAGCAAGGTGTACATGGCCATCCTGATAGTACTGGTTTTGGCAACGATTGCGGTGCTAGTGCCTCTAGGTAGGCCTATATTTAGACACAACAAAATGAGCCACACGTCTGCCCATTTTGGATAAGACCTAAAAACCTTATATTTATTGTTACGGGGAATGGCACCTTAGGGGGATATTCCCATAGGGTTGTGCACACAATTTGTCCAACTTTAATTACCCCTAACCCCAATTTCCCTTATCCTACGCTCACGAATTCTGGTATATTACGTTTTGGGCCATGAGCAATCGATCTAGCCTATTTGCGACAATAACGTTTTTGCCTCTCGATAGGAGTTACGTTGTGACATTATTAGGGAGACATTGAAATGTCTCCTTAATGTCTGGTGTCTCCCTAAGGTATAAGTATGACGAAAAATTTCTCATTATGGGTACATTAACAGGAATTACCTTATTACATGTATTATGTAGCCTATATGTAGCCGATAGTCTACATAATATTATGGCACATGTATCTTTACTCTCTCATTTCGTCAAACTTGGTTATATGAACCACCGTTTTGATGTGAATTCGCAAGAAAAAATAAATCACGATCGATTTTACTTGAATACACAGCAAAAACTGATGTAGCTAGCAATTGAACACTTCAGTCTAAACACAATCTTGCTGTCAGTGTGTTAATCTGTTTATAAACACTAAACATGTTTGAGTATTGATGGATAATGTTTAGCATTTGAACACTGATGTTTAGGAATTGGACACGGAATGTTTAGCTTCTAACATGTTTACAAAATGATAGCAAGATTGTGTCAAGTTGCTGACACACTTTTTGCAGAGTACTTTATTAACTTTAATTTGGGTGTGCCCTAATAATTAAAAAAAAAATGTAAAACCATTTGGGCCTTTGATATTACAGCAAATTAATTAATACTGTTAAAAGACTGAATTACATGACTAGGTGACTACGTGCGTACATCTAAAACATAAACTTGTACAAAAATGACAGTAAAAAAAAGTTAAAAAAAACACTAGAGTTGTGATGGACATGTATGAGAGTTGTTATATGGAAATGCACAACCCAGTTTTTCACCCGATCAGATTAAAAAGAATAACTCAAACGGCCGTAGAATCAACAATATTCGTTGGGCCATTAACCGTAAGAGGACATTGTTTTGTTCCGGGGTTATCACTGATATCTGCTCTGTTGGTGTCTTGTGCCATAGTTGTGATCGTTCTGGAGAGAAACGAGCTGGCCAAGGAGGTGGCTGAATTGAAGTCAGCCCATACGCCCCAGACTTGTACATCGCAGCAGTGCATCAAGTCAGGTATAATAACGATTCCATGTAATATATTTTGAATGTTATCGTCTTCATCGGGCATCTCATTCGCTGAGTGCTGACAACCAGGTGCGGCGGAACCGGGGGGGGGGGGGCTGGGGGCACTCCCCCCCCCCCCCCGATTTACCCAAGTGCCCCTTATGCGTACAAAACTGGCCCTTAAATTTCGGATAATTTGTTTTCAGTAACCATTTTCCAAAATGGTATAGAGAGTTCTGATATGAACAAGGAATATGAAAACCAAGCCCCTAAACCCTTACAATGCGTCCTGAAAATGAGCACATAATGAGTAGTTTGCTTTATGGCCGGTTTTGAAGAGCGCCTCTATTTTGGAGGATGGTATTTTGGCCGAAGGAAACCAACCCGTATATGCAACGATGAGAATATGTTGAAGACTTAAACGGAAGTAAATCTCCAAACCATAATACGGTCATGCTCTGATCTCAACTAAATTGAGAGCTTCTACACGGGTCGGGACCAGAATTAAAAAGGGCAAAATATATTGCAAATGTATGACAAAAAAAAAGGAAGCCTGCGGAAAGAAAAAGGAGGGGCGAGGACGACACACTGGTTTATATTTTTACTTGGCCCAATAGTCCGTTATCATAACATTGGCAAAGCTTTATCTGCATTTAGAGAGTCGATCCGAGCAAAGAGGGCTGTATAGTGTATAATACCTATTTTGCCCGCCGAATTCCCCCTGGCCCTTCCATAAACTTCTCCATGTACAATTGACCGATGAGATACAATCAAGTCTCCCTCTCACCATAGAGCAAGGTCCTTGCTCTATGCTCTCACACACACTCTCTCTCTCTCTCTTCAAACTTGCTCGAGGGGTCCATAATATCATCAAAAGGCTCTTGATAAAGACACAATTGCACAGTGGGATCTGGCCATTCGGGACGCTCTATCGCATCTACCGGATGTCCTCTCAGTGATACTGTACGTGTTGTTAACCGCTAGAAGCGATACAGTGCCGCGACAATGCAGCCTCTTGAGAGGGCTTTCAAATTTGTTTTGTAGCAATTCCAACCTTATCATGCAGCTGCAGAGCTTCTATAATGCAATTCGCATACACTTTTCTTACAGATCAGCAATTTAAAATGTAGATGCCTCTCGTGCATTAAAGGACAATAACAAAGCGAGAGTATTAATGGAAAGATACTCAATGACAAACATCCTTATAATTTCGAAGCTGAAAACTCTGTTTCCTATTCAGTACACCATGTTACCTTGTGACAACATGCCGACCGTGAGGCAAATGCCGGGCAACCAAAACACTTCATCATCATTTTGCGTGTTACTTGGCACATGTCAACACTTTTAAACCATTCATGTTTCTAGGGATATAACTGGCGTGCATAAGAAAACCGTTCGCTGAAAGTTGGCATATAACGTGACCACAACCTTCAAATTTACAAAATGTTATATATGAAGTTTGTTCTTAAATATATTATAGATGAAGACCATGTTATATAGTATTATATACCATGGTACATAGTGTCCTGAAAATGTGCAGTGCAGCCAACAGGTTTGATCCAGGTTGTGATCAAGGAGGGGGATTTAGCTGCCGAGTGTTGGGGAGGGGTGAGGTAACAGGTATATGCTGTGTTTTTGGGCCTGCTCGATTTCCCTCCTTTTTTGCGGCCAAAAGATGGGGGGGGGATAGACCGCCACTACCTTTTTTTCTGGAACTCAAACTCCATGGTTCAATTTTTACGGACCAGTCAGAATGGAATTCCAATTATTTTTTGCGTCGGGGTACTTAAATCACGGAGAATGTCGAAAATTTCCTTATCAACCTAAGGCCGCATATATATCCGGAGGTGACTTTTTTATCCACGACTACGGGTGTTTTCTGCAACATGTCGATGTCATCATACTGAAGGCGTGGGCACAAAAAAATAGCCAATTTGGAACTCGGCCATTGTTTAACCTCCAAACATCTCCACCATCTTCTTGTCTGCAGCCGCCATCTGTCTCGACAGCATGAACCGGGATGCCGACCCCTGCGACAACTTCTTCGAGTACGCATGCGGGGGCTGGATCAAGCAAAAGGTTATCCCGGATGACAAGTCAAGCTACAGCGCCTTCACTGTGCTGAGGGAACAGGTGGAAATCAAATGCAAAGGTATACGAATATTCCTATTCGTTAGGCCAAGATCATAAACACTGGGTACTTTCGGACCCTTGATGGCAGCTAGTAGACACAGAAGCTAAGTCGAAATGCGCATAATCAGAATAACGATCTGCCAATAACAGCGCATGCGCCACACAGGGTGTCTCCAAACAAAGTGTCTCCAAACAAAGTACATGTATACCTTTTTTATCCCCCTGGCTGTAAGCCGGAAGGGGATATTGCGATAGCGTATTCCTTCTGTGCGTATGTCTGTGCGTATTATGTCTGGTTAGGTTAACTCTTGTGAGCACGATAACTTGAGAAACACTTTACTTAGGAACTTAAAATTTGGTTTGTGGGTTATTCTTGGTAGTCTTAAGAAGCCTATTGCTTTTTGGGCCGACAGGTCAAAGGTCAAGGTCACTATTGGTAAAACAAAAGAAATCTTGTCAACGCGATAACTTGAGAAATACTTTACTTAGGAACTTGAAATTTGGTTTGTGGGTTGTTCTTGGTAGTCTTAAGTAACCTTATGGCTTTTGGGGCCGACAGGTCAAGGTCAATATTGCTAAAACAATAGAAATATTGTCAGCACGTATGCTTAAGAAACACTTTACTTAGGAACTTCAAATTTGGTTTGTGGGTTGCTCTTGGTAGTCATATCAATTCAATGATTTTGGGGCCGACAGGTCAAAGGTCAAAGGTCACTATTGCTTACACAATATAAATCTTCCATTTTGGTTGGTTACACTGATGACTTAAAAAAAAAAACCGCCAGCATGCCAGGGGGATTGCGCAAGCCGCACTTGCAGTATTTTAAATGTAACTTATTAGACATGAACTGAAGCATTCTCCCTATCGCCACTTTTCCATCGTGCACAAACGCTGATTTTGACCTATTTATCATAGAGGCCTTTTTTTGTTCTTTCGTCCATGACAATGACTAATGACATTGGTATAATTGGATACAGGATAACCTGGCCTTTCTACTTGTAGTTGCCTCTGTCTAAATTATTCAGTATATTTCCGATAATGTTGAGACATAGTCTGTTGACTGAATGTCTTGTATAAAACTGTGCATTCTCAAGCAGTCCCCGTTGTTTTGTAATGATAATCATGGTTAATGAGAGAGAAATGTAATCGTCTTACCAATCTTATATTTTTAACTATACGATTGCTATAGAACTGTTCGAGCGAGAAGGGAAGGAGGACGAGGCCAAACCCATCATCAGTGTCCGCAACATCTACAAGTCCTGCCTCGACCTAGGTAAGTGGAGACGGTTTTCAGAACTCACGTTATCATTTTTTACTTTGATCTGTTTCTGTATTAGTAAAGTAACTAGCGTGATGCCGCGCTGTGCGCGGCACCCGCTAGCTCGGTGTCTTGCAAATGATTAGCGCGCCCTCACTTGACGTATTTTGAGACAGGTTTCGAAATGCATATTTATATCGTACGAATTCATTAATAACAACTTGGAGTAAAGTATATTATAAGTTCCGAGACATGTGATAAAAAGTGTGACACTGAGCGTGTTGCTTTCCGGATACACTGCAAAAACTCTTAATTTCGGATTCAGTGTCAAATTATGCCTTTATCACATGTTTAATCTAAGACTTAATTTATATGTGTATTTAGCCTATCATTCGAAATGAACCCAATTGTAATCATTATTTACATTTTACACCATATGCTTGATGGTACTAACATGCTTTTGTTGTGTCCTAAACATGTCACAGACACAAAACATGTCGTAGATTTAAAAAAGGTGGTTACAATTAAGTGTTTAGAAATGTCTTTTAACAAGAAACACAGTTTTTGCAGCATGGTTTTTCTTTGACCTTTCTTCTGCCACGTAGATCGCATCAACGAGAGGAATTCCGAGCCCCTGTTGGATCTGCTGGTGACCGTGGGTGGCTGGCCAGTGCTTGGCAACCTAACGGGTGGCAACTGGGACCCAACCACCTTCCATTTTGAGACATTATGGGCCCTCCTGAATGGGAAGTACGGCTCAGACATGATCGTCTCCTCCTGGGTCAGCGTTGATGATAAGAACTCATCCAGTCACATATTAAAAGTAAGCTAATATCAATTTGAGGCCTTTGGGGTTTTAATAGAATTGTAGTTAATAGAGGGCAATTTCCTGAGGACATTGTCATCATTTTTTAAGCAAGCTTATTAGTGTGTCAAAAATTTGACAGCAAGGCAGGTATATAGGCCCTGTAATTCAGACTTCATAACAAGAGTAAGGTCAGAAGCTCTTCTGACCATGGCATCTACACTCTAACTCTAAAAGGTCTCGGGTCAGATTTGACCCGGAAGCCGGTTTCTATTATCGGCCTGCCACTTTCCCGGGTCAAAATGACACTTTCCGGGTCAAAGTGACACTTTTCCGGGTCAAAATGACACTTTTACGGGTCAAAAGGACACTTTTACGGGTCAAAATGATACTTCCCTGTACTCATTTTCCGGGTCATTTTGACTCAGAAAAGTGTCATTTTGACCCTGCGAAGTGTCATTTTGACCAGGAAAAGTGTCATTTTGACCCGGAAAAATTGTCATTGGCCCAGAAAAAAGGTTTCATTTGACCCAGGAAAATTGTCATTTTGACCCGGTAATGTGTCGGGCCAAATATAACCCGGATTCTATGTCAAATCTTTTCTGATTTTTAGAAATTAACCGTTCCATTTGTAATTTTGTTTTTCTCCTGCAGCTTGATCAGCCGAGTCTTGGCCTAAGAAGCAGAGACTACTACCGGAACGTTGAATTTGAAGAGGTAAAATCAAATAACATTTACAAATACTACGTAAAAAAATATCAACCCATTATCAGAGGGTCACCAGAAACCAGCCAGGTTTTTTTTCCCCATACCACTAATTCGCTATGGGCGTATACTGAAGCACCTTGAGTTGCAAGTCAGGTTTTCGGACTTTATTTCCCTTGAAAGAAAATCCTCCAAACCACAAATTGGTAAAAACAGAAGTAAAAAAGAAGAAATTTAAAAAAACCCACAATATTCCAATGGCAATCGATCTCACACCTCCAGATTTGTAATCTTGAACTGCAGGGGCTTGATCGAGGTGGTAGTTTTAACCATTGTATTTTTGCTTGTATAGCGCCCTCCAGTATAATTCTGTATTTAGAAGCAAATATGTAGTATTGAAAAATAAATCGCAAACCGGACGGGCATGTTACGATGACGATGTATTACGCAACAAGTGGAAATACGAGATTTGTTTTTTAATCCAGCCTAACAGGTTATTAATGTATAATAGACATGGGCAATAATCTAACTTAGAAAAGCTATTGACGTTTTGATTTATATATAATCTTTAGAGGACCTTTAAGATAAAAAAAATGTTTCAAAATCGATCCCCCTTTCCAAAAATTTAAGGAGATTAGAGCAGTATTAAATAGTATTAGTTGCTGTCTCACTGAAAAGTTTAAGAAAATGCGACAAAACCACTACCAGTCATGCTTTTGTTTCCTGTTTTTTCCCCGTGGCGCCCCTTATATTGTCTTTTCAGGAAAGAGCGGCGTATTTGCAGTACATGGTAGACATCATTGTTGAGCTGGGCGGGGACGAAGCAGCGGCCAGATCAGATATGTCTGACGTCATGACGTTTGAGACAGCCATAGCAAACGTAAGACCCAGCAACATTGGTCTCTAACCAATCACATGACAAGAATTTATTCAGGTGTTGCATACAAAAGATAATGAATATTTCACAGTCGTCAGGGTGGGTGAGGGATGAACTGTTCCATTCCACTCAGCTTTGCCTCGTGGAGCGGAACATCCATCAGAATTTATTCATCTGTTGTATACAAAATATCATGAATATTTTACAGTCGTCAGGGTGGGTGATGAAATGTTTCATTCCACTCTGCTTTGCCTCGTGGAGCGGAACATCCATTACTTTACAACCTCGTAAATTTTTTCTGACCATTGCACTCATACACATTAATTATTTGTATTTTATGTGTACGAAATGTAGCAATAATGAATGCACTAAACTTTACTCGTACCCATTAACGTCAAACAAAAAAAATTGTCCTCTGACTCCAAATACCAAATACCAGTTCTTTCCGACATTACTTTTAGAAGCCAGTGCCCCTCCCCCCCCCAAAAAAAACCCCGCTCATTTTGAAATTGAAAAGCTCTTTAGCAAAGTAGCCAATTCACAATTCGACAATTTCTATTATTGGTGCCCATAGTTGCTCAGTGTATATCGACTAAACTGTTACAGCTAATATTTTTCTGGTCGAGACACATTTCCTTTTATAATACTCCGGGGTCTTGGTGGAATTTGTAAATAAATTATGCCACGATTTCATGACACATATTTCCATGTTCAGATGTCTATTCCGAAGGATGAGAGACGAGACAACGAGAAACTGTATAACATCTTCACTTTGGAAGAATTGAACGCAGCCTATCCGCAGGTAATTAGCCTATACCGAAGAAAATCTCCACATTCGAAGATTCGCGGTCTCGAATTTCATCTTTGTTTTTTTTGGTGGCCGCAAATATTATATAAAAGGTCCGTTTTCGTCAAAAACTGAACGTTTTTTCAAAAGTTCAACGTGAAGCAGCCCGCAAAAAGCTAGTGTAATCTTCGACATCTTGAAGACCATTATACAGGGTGTTTAAAAAAAAAGGAAACCCAACTTCAAAACATGAGTATGGACAGACGATATGTTTACTAGCTATTAAACTGGTATCATCTGAAAGCATAATCTCTGTACAGTGGTGCTCAGTGATGCATGACCCTGGAAATGTAAACAAGGTATAACAGTTTTAAAGCCAGTAAACGTTTAGTCTGTCCGTACTGGTTCTTCAAAGTTGGGTTTCCTTTTTATTGAAACACCCTGTAGTTCTTCGTGAAGCTGGACATGTTTGCTGAAAGGAGATGTCTAGTAGGGGTTGGAGGCTGCAGTCACACTTTACTCTCACAATTCCAAAGAAAATTCACTCTACTCGAGTGAAACGTCACTTCCATCGACTGTAATTTTTGGAAGAAAGAGGAAAACCGCAGCGTAATTTGGACTAATGGACATTGACCATACTAAATACATCACCCCAAAAACTGGAAGATCACGACGAGGACACAAAAAATAGACAGTTCCCACTCCACCAGGCCAGGACCGTCACATGTGCTTCTTCGTTTTTCCTAAGAATTCTTAAAAATCGGAATGACCTCCCAGACTCAACGATGGCAGTGCACCAACACAGACCCCTTTAAGAATGCTCTTTGTGACAAAACTTCGACCACTCTCACCACATCTCCAGTTTAAATTCCTCAGATGGAATATTTTAGAGGGTTACCAACCAAGTACCAAGTACCAAGAAACAAGACACCAAACGTTTTTGAAGGAGATTCATTCAATCGACTAGATTGAGTTTTTACTCGGGTTTTCACTGGATTGACTCTTTTTTTAAGATTGCCTTTTATTTTAAGATCTACACTTAGGGTCAGTTCTACTCAAAATCGTCTATTCCCTGATTTCGCTTTTTTGGATCTTGTATCTTTTTTCCAGATCAATTGGACACTGTTCTACGACCTTATCATGCCGGACAAAGTGAAGCCCATCTTGCCCACGGAGCGCATCGTCAACAAGGTGCCTTTGTACCTGAAGAACGTTACTGAGTGGCTGGTACGACAGGACAATAGGTAAGCAGTAATCTTTGTATCATTCATAAGATGAATTTGCGTTGGGTGTTGTGATTTAATATTAGTTGTGCCCTTCACCGACGTATAAACACTGCATGTATACTCAGTGTGTTACCTCCCGAGTGGGAGCGAGCTCGGTGGTCGAGTGGTAAGACGTCTGCACTAGAAAGCAGGAGGCCGTGGGCTCGAGTCGCACCCGAGTAATTTTTTTTGTGAACTTTCACTCGGAAAGTAATACACTGAGTATACAGCGTTTATACCTCGGTGAAGGGCAAAACCTGAATACTAATCTTTGTATTCTTTCGGGTGATCAAACCCACAAATCCTCAAAAGTGCATGCACAGGCTGTGTGGCTCGGAATCATGCATGGAGTAGCCCCAAGGGCACAAAGTCGGCGAACAAAATGATGTTTAGTGATTAAAAAAAAGCTGGAAAGCAAACCCAAAAGAAGATGTTCATGGACAAATTGACGACGTCAGGCAGGAACTGAAAGTCCAATATCTACATGTGAGCCTGGGAAGAATTCGAATCTGGGCCGCAGAGGTGTGAGTCGAGATCAGCTGCACCAGTTGAGTTTCCTGGGCCTGTTAACGCTATCGCTTACACTGATGCATACTGTTCATGTTGTTGACAATGTTTGGTGCTCTAACAGAAAAAAACATAGTGATCAACCACGGAAGGACTTAAATTGAACTAGGCTATAAATCTGGACAAATTCGTGCTTGTATTTTCGTGAGGAAAGAGGTTGTAACACCGAGGTTTCAGCGATTTCAGCCCATTTTGGGTGGGGATGGCGGGTCGATCACTACAGTCACTTGTAGTGTTCTTTAGACGAACAAGTATGAAACTGCACGGGACTTAAGTTTCTTTTTCCACCGACCAGAGGGATCGCCAACTACATGATGTGGTGACTATCCACGTGCTCAGCACCGTTACCATGATGTAGAAATACCCTTCACTTCTATTTTACCGGCCAGAGTGGTCGCCGACCACATGGTGTGGTGACTGTTCACTGTCATGGTCCGCAGCACAGTTAACATAACGATAAACTCTTCATTATTTGCACCGTCCAGAGTGATCGCCAACTACATGGTGTGGCGACTGATCCGCGTCATGCTCAGCACAGTTACCATGATGTAAAAAAACCCGTTCATTTCTATTTAACCGGCCTGACTGATCGCCAACCGTTGTGTGGTGACTGGTCAACGTCGCACGTGGTTAGCAAATAATATGATGTAAATCGTTGTTTCTTTATGTTCTAACTGGCCAGACTGATCGCCAACTACATGGTGTGGCGACTGATCCACGTCATTCTCAGCACAATTACCATGATGTATAAACCCTTTATTTCTATTTTACCGGCCAGACTGATCGCCACCCATGGTGTGGTGACTGGTCAGCGTCATTGTCAGCACATTATTGTGATGGAAATCGTTTGTTTCTTTCTTTTTTACCGGCCAGAGTGATCGCCAACTACATGGTGTGGCGACTGGTTAACGGCATGGTCAGCGACCTGGGACAGATCTTTATCGATATTCGCCAGCGATACTTGAACGTGTTGCTGGGCACCTCGTCTACTCCAGCCCGCTGGAAGCGATGTGTCATTGAGGCCAACAACGTGTTAGAGTTCGCCACAGGTCGAATGTACGTGGAAGAGTACTTCCCTGCAATCGCCAAAGAAAAGGTATACAGTGAAATCTCGATCAGTCAAACCTCACGGGAATGGGCTCAAATTTCGAATTAAGTAGAATTTCGAATAAGCCAAGGTCTTTTTAAAAGTAATTCCAATGATCCAGTTTCTATTTCAACTGAGATAATTGCTAGTTTTTATGTCCTTTCCGTGTCTTTACCAAAATGTGAACTTAACAGTTCAGCTTTATAACTTAATTTAAAATGTCAATACCTTGTCTCCTGTTCTTGCAGACAATTGAGATGATCGGCAACTTGAAGATTGCCTTCAAGGCGATGCTGGAGACCAACGATTGGCTACAGGAGGCGGACAAGAGAGTGGCTGCGGAGAAGGTTAATGATTTGAGGGGTCAAAGTTCAAACAAGTTCATCCAAATTAACCTGTGCACGAAAGCCGAGCAATAGAATTTATTCACGACGAAGCCAATTTCGATCGTGTTCCCTAAATCTGTTTTATAAATAGTGGACTATTGAATGGGATGGTGCCAGACTGTTTTATGATTGGAGTACGTGCCCAGCCTCACTTTCAAGTTTAAATGTGGCTGAAAACATTAGGTTATTTTTAATCACAATTCTTAAATTATTCATCAGAGCTGACTGGTATTAATTGTAACGAACCTGTATTTAACTGCTTCCATTTCTACTTGCAAGTTCCAAAAATAAAGAGTTTACCTCGCTTTCAGTTTAATCTATTGCATTGCTGGCTGCACGATACACAAACATTGAATTACATGAGCCACGCGGAAGGCTTTACACAAAGACAGGTTTTGGAAACAGCTTCCGTAGTTTTATACTGGGGACTCGTTTTGGTTTTACAATTTAATTTTGCTTTGGGCTCTCCATTTATGGTTCATTTGATACAGGCTGACCAAATGCGGATTGACGTGGGATATCCTGATTGGATCATGGATGATGCCATGCTGGACGAAAAGTACAAAGGGGTAGGTTTTCATTGTTGTGTAAATTGTGACCGAAGGGAACGTATGTCAACCCCGCCAAAAAAGAAATCCACACTCACTGGAGGGATTTTACCTTTGAACCCGATCGTCTTATGTTGACGTCATTTATGTAGACCTTTGGGGAATGTTGTTAGCTACATTCTGATACCCCGTTTGCTACCGAAGACTGTATGTAAATCGTCCAAGATTGACAACGGTTTATGAAAAATTATGCAGTTGGAAAAGTTGCAAATTTAAAGATTACGTGAGGAGAAATTGCTAAGCGTAACCACGTCGTGCCCGTAATTGGCCCCTATCGACCGCACAGTGCCCGAACAAAGCGCGGGTAATTCAAGTTCGCGTGCTCCCGCGCATGCAAGCACTGCGCGATATCGATAATCCCTGCCGTTCGTTTCGGGCAGTGTTACATTATCACACAGCAATTTCCAGTCGCGTACTCTTTAAATTTGCAACTTTTCATACTGCATCATTTTTCATTAACCGTTGTCCATCTTGGACGATTTACAGTCTTTGGTGGCAAACGGGGTATCAAGATGTAGCTAACAAAATTCCCCAAAACTCTATATAAATGACTTTATCATAAGATGAACAGATTCAAAAGTATGACTCCTCCAAGGAATGTGAACTGTTTGCGGTGTTTAGTAATAAAACACACAGCTCATTAAAAGGTTGAACACGATATTAAACGATTTCAAAACAAACACCAATGAAACACTGACCGATAAATGTTTACTCTCGGATAGTGAATATACTCCCTTTCTGCTTATCGCTGAAACAGGTGCATGCAGCCTCGAATATCATGCAGCCTCGAATATGGTACCAGAGTTTGTGACCACTACTCATGACTATTTGTTCTATTTTCTTGTTTTTGTTTTTGTTGTTAATCCCAGTTGGACTTTGTTGCTGATGGTTACTTCGAGAACTCCCTTCTGTATCTGCGGTGGAGTAAGGTTGAGAGTCTGTCTCTCTTGAGGGACGTCGTGGACAGGACAGAGTACGTAAGCCTATACCACAGCGATACCGACTGGATAGCGTATGCCCATTACGCTGTACATTAACTTAATGCCGCTTTTTGACCAGTTCGCCCCGGTCTTCCAATTATGGCCGCCGATATACAGCATTACGCACTGTGATCTGATACACTGTGCCCTCTGAACACATGCACACAATAGGGAACAAAAGATTGCATACGTCGCCACAGGGCAATTTCTATAGATGAATACGTCTCCACAAGGTTTTCACGAAATAGATATATGGATTTTACTCAAAAACTAGGAATTTCCAAGGTATGTTGAATTGTCGCGCAAATGGTAGAGTTTTTGAAAAGGGATATGAAGTCCGAATTTCAGCAAAGGAAATTAATTCTGGTTAAAATAAGAGCATTTTGAAACTGTACTTTCCAACTCGAAAACCTTAGTACACGAAAACAAAGAAATGTCTCCACAAGCATACAAATTTCAGTATGAATGTTTCAACACGTGTATTGACTCCTCATTGTATGGACTATTTTCTTAGATGGACGGCTGGGCCTGCTGTTGTGAACGCGTACTTCAGTGCCAGCAAGAACCGAATTCGTAAGTGAATTTTGTAATCGCAAAAATCAGAGCAGGCATGTTTGTTCTTTTTAAGAGATCTCGCCTTGGAGTGAAAGCTTCTTACGTTTTTTTGGCAAGTACAATAATCTTGGTAATGTACCAGAATGGTGCACACGCACTATAATAATGTGTTTATGAAGCGCACGTATCCACCAGTATTGGTACTCAAGGCGCTACATTATTATTAGCCTGGTCATTGGGCCAATCAAACATTAACAAATACCATCTCAGCTACCTATGGGGTATACAGCTCGATGCTGCAATTTCAACACAAAGCGGCTGAAATCAGTCACAATAACCATCTCTGCCCTCACAGGTACCCATTTGCTCCTGGGTGGAGAGAAGCAATGAGTGACAAAGTGTCTTGCCCAAGGGCACACGCACCATAATCCCAGGCTGGACTTGACCCCACAACCTGCAGAATTGCCCGCACACCATGAATTCAGTGCTCCAGACCATGAGGCCACGGCGTTTCAACATAGATTAAAGCCATTTGTTTTATTTTTTCATCCTGACAGTTTTTCCTGCTGGAATTCTTCAGCCTCCCTTCTACCATCAGGACTTACCCTGGTAATTCCTTCAATTTCTCTTCGTCAACAAAAATCGTAATAGTTTAATGGAGAAGTGATTGTCTTTTGTATAGAAAAGTGAAACATCATGACTGTGTTTTATTATTTTCTAATGATTGAGTTAAATTTCCACACCCAAAAAAGGTTCATCCAAACAAATCAATCTAACACAGCGATGGAATTGGTAGCAAATATTTCCCCGAATAATGTTGTGAAACTTTTGGTTATGAAGTAATCAACAACATTATTAAAATATAATCCGTATATTAATTTTGTTTTCGATTATTCTAGGTATTCGAACTACGGCGGTATTGGAGTTGTTATCGGTCACGAAATTACACACGGATTTGACGACGGAGGTAATGGGATGTCATGTTGCTTTTAAATATATTGACTTTTACGAAAAATTTAAATATGTGTTATGCACATCGTAGCTTTTTTAACTTATTTGGAAAGGAAAATCAAATACACAAAAAGGGAAATTGCATAACTAGGTGCATAAAGAAACCTAGTCAGTTTCCCAATGTGGTTTATTTGAGACTTTGTAATGAAGAAGCCATATCCCCTCAGAGTGATCCCCGTTTGCTATTTTCGAGGTTTGCAGCATTGCTAATGTTGTTGACGTCGTGACTTCGGGCGTGATCCCTGGCTACATGGCATATTTGGGTTTATGGCTTCTGACTAGCACCCCTTGAACAAAGACATTGACAAAATGGGGAACCGCCAACATAGGGCTGGATAGCTCAGTTGGTAGAGCACCAGAACGTTAATCCGGAGGTCGCAGGTTCAAACCTAGTCTGAGTATCGGACATTCACATGGGTGGGTAAAGCCACGATTGAACGTCTGCTATATCGTAGCATGTAACATTTATGCGACCCCGCGAGCCAGCCAATGAGAGTGGTCTTTAGAGACTGTGACGTAATTTCGATTAGAAATGTGGACGGAGCTGTGGATTGGTCAGTTTGGATTTCATGTTTTTGTAATACAACAACCGGTTACGGAAGACCCGATAGAAGGCGCCTGCTGAATGCTTTGCATAATTAGTCGCCGAATCTGCTCGCATATCATAGACCCTTGTGTAAGGGGATATTCCATAGACTAGTTCAAACTCCGCTCCAGTCAATTTCTTTGTTCAACTAAAATTTGTTTGGAAAAAAGTCAGGTCTGATTTGTGCAGTACATGTAGTACACTGCCTGACTTTCACTTCTGCCAGTCAAAGTCGGTATTCCAACACGCACGGTCATCTACTCAATCATGAGTCAAATCGGAAGCCGGGTAATGAGACACAAGCGAGATCATGAGTAACAAGGCGTGGACATTGGCAAAAGAAAATAACGACAAAGGAACGATGTTGTTGCAATTCAGTTAAATAGCATTTGACTAGAGACAGGATGACTTATTACCAAGTTGTGATTGACTTCTATTTGGCCACAGGGAGACAGTACGACAAAGACGGCAACCTGGTGGACTGGTGGAGCGCAGACTCGGTGGTCAAATTCAAGGAGAGGGCGCAGTGCATTGTGGATCAGTATGGGAGCTTCGTCATGCCCGAGACCAACGAAAATGTAAGTTTGCATGCAATGACGACGTGCTTACATAACGAAGAGTACCAGTGATTATTTTGGTAGCCGTTTTGACCAAGAACACCCTTCAACCGAAGATTTGAGTATGTCGATTGGGACAGAGCCCGAATTTCTTTGTAGTTAAAGAGAATAAAATTACAGCTCTGATTTGGAAAAAAAATGAACGTGTATCTTTCAACTTAAAATTATTGTTGAACGATTACAGGGATTTCTGCAGATTAGCACAGCGTCCCCAAAAACAGTTCCCTCGATTGATGATTTCATCTCATCAAATTTGGAAGTTCACAACCCCGTGCCCAAACAAGACCGCACTTCGATTAATTTTGATTCAGTAAATGAAACTCTACCTCTGTCAAAGAGGTTTTTTAATGGAAAATCGCCCCAAGCAAGGCTATAAAAGCCACTCTTGGCAAAGGGCCAGAGAGAGGAAATGTATGATGAAAAGAAACAAATTAATCAGGAAAGCTGGAGGTATAGGAATTGATATTCCTCTTTAAAGAGGCTAGATCACAGAATGGAGGGAAACAGCCACTAGGCAAGGACTTCCAAAGAGATGCAGAACGTGGGAAAAAGCTAGTAGAGTAGTTCTTTGTTCTACATCTCGGCACAGCTAGAGTGTATCAATGAGAGGAAGCAGAGAGCCTGGTTGCACGCTCAAACACCCTGACAGGAGGAACCAAGTCAAACAAACTGCTGGAACAACTTGCATGCCTGATTATAGTAGCTCTTGGTTCTACATCTCGGCACAGCTAGAGTGTATGGGTGAGAGGAAGCAGAGAGCCTGGTTGCACGCTCAAACACCCTGACAGGAGGAACCAAGTCAAACAGACTGGTGGAACAACTTGCATGCCTGATTATAGTAGCTCTTTGTTCTACATCTCGGCACAGCTAGAGTGTATGGGTGAGAGGAAGCAGAGAGCCTGGTTGCACGCTCAAACACCCAGACAGGAGGAACCAAGTCAAACAAACTGATGGAACAACTTGCATGCCTGATTATAGTAGCTCTTGGTTCTACATCTCGGCACAGCTAAAGTGTATGGGTGAGAGGAAGCAGAGAGCCTGGTTGCACGCTCAAACACCCTGACAGGAGGAACCAAGTCAAACAAACTGGTGGAACAATTTCCATGGAAATATCTGTAGAACAGACGGAGGGTGGCTACTGACCTACGATGGGAAGCTACACTAAAGTTACCCTGTGAAAGGCTGTCTTGTAAAATGCCCATTGAGTGTTGTTGTGAGGATACCATTCAAGTACGATAATACACTTATTTCTTTGTAGATGAACGGAGTGCAGACACAAGGGGAAAACATCGCAGACAATGGCGGTTTGAAAGAATCGTACAAGGTAAGTGTTATTGTAATAGCGGTAAATTATGGTAACTTTGAGAGTTACATTTCGAATAGCGCAGCATGCTCTACCACGAGCAGAGCATACCTGTTCAAACGTCGAGTTAAACCAACTAGTTCTTTTCAGAACCACTCTTAACTCACTAAGAGATATCTTTCATTCACATGTTGTTACCGCAAACCTCCCATTCATTTATCATGTCCACCACACAAACCATTAAGTCTTACTTTACGTTGAGAGTTCTAATAAAATCACAATTCAGCCTCATATTTTTCTGACACCTCAAGGCGTGTTTATAGATATGGTTCAGAAATATTTATTTTACATTTGGTTGTGCTTGGTTTTCTATAAGTGATGGTGACTGGAGGTCCTAAAAATGATCTCAGCGATATAGGAAAACAATTACTCGAAAAGAAGATGGGCATTTGCTGAATTCGGTACACGTGGCAGTTTTGGTATAGTGACCCTCTCTAACATCTTTCAAATACCAAATATTGTGTTATCAAGTCTTCCCCCATTTGCACATGTATTGTAACGAGTGTTTCATTTGCCATCTCTCGTTATTGCAGGCCTACAAGGATAACGTACCAGATGAACCACTCTTGCCTGGATTAAACCTGAGCGCAGACCAGATGTTCTTCCTAACATTTGGCCAGGTAGGAACTCACTAAAACGCAGGCATGGAGTTTGAATCCTTGTGGAGTCATTTCTTTGTTTTCGTGAACTAAAAGTTTGAAAGTGAAGTTTGAAAATGCTTCTACTTTGACCAGAATTAATTTCCTGGGCTGAAATTCGGACTTGATACCCCTTACATGAAATACTTCGATTTGCGACAATTAACAAACCTTGGAAATTTCTAGTTTTTGAGTAAAATCCATAACTCTATTTCGTGATAACCTTGTGGAGACGTGTTCACTTATAGAAATTGCCCTGTGGAGACGTATACAATCTTTTGTTCCCTAATGATGCACATGTCTCCACAGGATACCATGTATCAGATCACTCCTTTTTGTCTATCTTAAAAACAATAACACATCTGTCTTTATTTGACCGCGTTGAAGTCATGTCGCTCATTACGAGTCCAATCGAAAGCCAAATCACAATAAGGTCAGTAATCAAAATAAAATCCCGTCCTCGCAATTGACTCAAATTGACGGTAAACTGACTTGAGACTGGAGGACTTGATTTAGAGGACATGCTAAAGAACATGTTTATTTACACCTTTCAGATGTGGTGCAGTGTCTATCGGCCAGAGGGTGTGACGTCGCAAATTCTTGGAGGAGTACACAGTCCGGGTCGGTACAGGTAGGTTCATTGGGCGTCGCAAAACACTCTTCACTGAGGAATGACGCGAAAAATCACCGGCCGTGAAAAAAAAAAATTAAAAGTGGGTGGGGGGGGGTGGGGAGCTGGACATCGTTTGGCACTTTGTTTTTATTACGCGTTTATGCGTATCGCCGCATTATAGGCCCCTTTCCGGCAGTTTCTAGTGTGAAATATACTTCGCCCCTCTTGTCTTCTTCTTCCCCTCCCTTACCTTTGTTTTTCTTTCCGGGGGAAGCGCTCCCGCTTGCACCTCCTCGCGATGCCCATGGGTAGGTTAGACGAACCCTTTCAGTACACTTTGCATAGACGATCCCCCGTCAGACTTGGGTACCAAATCGCACTGCTCTGAAGATCCGATGCGCTTATCTCTAATTTTCGTCACCTACCGTATATCGTTTGCTGGGGTCTCAGCAACTTGTGGCGGCGGCCATATTGGGGTCCCAGAATATGACTCTCTGTGGCTTCACTTGTTAGTTTATTTTTTACTAGATAATGTTAAGAAAATGCAGGAAACACCTTTGGACCAACAATACTCTTGACAAAGGATTGAGACCAGTAGAGTGATATGAGATCGGGTTTGTTGATGAAGCTAAGACTGTGGGTTGTATGATAGTGGGAGGCATAATTGTTGTGGAGAGTTCCACAATTTGGATGTGCGAAAAATGGAAGATGATGAGTAGGATACAGAAATTCGGGCGATTCACAATGCAGTGCGCCACCAAGAGTTTTCAAGTTTACGGTCGACATAACATGACCCATTTGAATGAGTGTCAGTAGACATCTTGAGATAATTTTGTTATAGATTGGGGCATATCATTCTGCTGCCTTACAAAACACCATATTGACAAAAAAGAAAAAGAAAAAGAAAAGGGCAAATAGACATACTCCTATCATTCGCTTACGAAACTACTGACCGGAAAAACGAACAACTTAAAGTGTCCCGCGCTGCGAATTTGTCGACCGTCTCCCACAATGCACTGGGAAAAATGATGTCTCCGTGGCAACTCTTGGTCTCGCACTGCATTGTGAATCGCCCGAATTGAGACTGTCGACCACAAGTTAAATTGTTGATGCGTTGTTTGCCTCGCAGGGTCATCGGTCCCATGCAGAACAACGAAGTCTTCGCCAGGGCGTTCAACTGCTCCCCATCAAGCTACATGAACCCAACGGACAAATGCAATGTCTGGTAACCGCCGCTCGCGAGTCCAGACTGTGTATATTCGCTGTAAATTAATCTCAGATCTGTGACTGTTTTTTTTATCACACGAAGAACTTTATATTCCTTCTTAGCGTTACTATTTACATTGCATTGGTATAGAATCAATCACGAATTCAATTTGAATTAGGTAGGACTCGAACCTGCGTCGCTCGAGTATAGTCTAGTCAGGTTTAATATACCAACTGTCCTCATACCACTGAGAGCCCAATTTCACGGCTCTGCTAACACGGAATACAACGCCTACTTTACATATTGAGGCCACGCCCACAAAATTGGGAAAATAAGAGGTGTTAAAACAATTGCATGTCTAAATTTGGGTCCAAGTTTATTTTAAAGGACGAAACAAAAAGGGAAAATGGATGTTGAAGGTTTTTTCCAAATTTTTATTTGGGCGCCCATTTAGCAAAAATTAATGCCCCCTCCCCAAGAATGGAAAAGATCCGAGATGGGTTCTCCTCTTAGAGTACTGTTAAGCCCACTGCAGCCCTGCCTGCCAAGTTTCATGATTTTACCGCAAGAAACCATAATGAACCGAAGCAGCTCCACGATAACACGATAACCATTCCGGCTTACAGCACCAGTTAAAAATTCTTTGTAAACACCGATGGGGCACAAAATCTGTTTACAAGCAGAAATCCTCGCTCGGCCGTGAAACGGTAACCGATAACCAGAATCACCTTACTAAAGTTAGTGGACACTATTCGCTTACGGTGAGCAGAGTCAGATAAATTAAATGGGTCCAAGGCTGAATTAGTGGTCGGAAATCTGGTGTTATAGTGTACCAGATAATTGCAAGGTTGGTATAAATCTGGAACTTTAACGTATATCGCCGCGGTTCGATTCATAATTAAACATACCTCATAGCTGTTCGGTTTTTACATTTCCTTTAAATATGGGTTTTGCTATTTTTTTACTTTTTCTTTTATAACGTAGATGAAGGCCTACATTTTGTAAATAAGTGTTTCAAAATAAATGCGTACATAACCGTAGAATGAGTTGCACATAAAATAGTTTGTATAATTATACATATGCTATAGATGCACATATCGTGGTACTGTTACTAAAAAAAAATACCTTTCAATGGTCCATGGAATGATTTTTGTGCAACTTTCTACTCCTCTGAAATGTACGAAAACTATTTGGCATCCTTTTTGGTTTATTTTATTGAAAAGTGCACCCCTGCAAACATTACAAAATGTCCATACCTTTCTGGACAACTGAGCGCGCTGTTGCTGTGATGTCATTTCAGGAAGACACTGTTCAGTTTAGGGGTTTTCTGCTCAAATTGTGAACCCAAAAATTTGCTCAATAAAAGCATATGTGAGAAAACTTTCCTTATTGGCTTTGTACTGAAACAACAACGAATCACCAAAGAAAAGAATATTAACAACAGCAAAATGTCCAAACTTCTGGCAACTTTTGCTGAAATACCTGTAGCATTTAGGTTTCTACCCGAAATGACAGCACACTTTTGCTGATGAATGGGGCAGAACCGTTAATTTTCAAGGATTACATTTAAAAATTACAGTGCATGTGCCATTTAAAACAATGAATTCAAAACATAAGGACTTTTAATTTTGGCTGGAGTTCACGAATAACATAACCCTACCGTTTCAATATATTTATGTAGCTTTAAACATTATGTTATGCATGCCATCTGCAGTCAGCAAGTGCATTGTGTGTTGCAAGGATTAGGCGGAGAAAAACTGCTCTCGCCACTAGCTGAGCGAGAATTCACAAGCGCAAATTTTGGGGCGCTTCTCAAAAACTGGTGCAATGTACAGGGTGAGTCGGAATTATTTGGACCCAAATCAAAGAAAATATTAAAAGAAATATGTAGCAATTATCAAAAGAAGTTCAAATGACAAATGTAATAGGCTGGTATTTGGGACATATTTGGAGAAAGAAGAAAAGCGCTAGCAAAGAACACAAGCTATAAAAAAAACACTCTGACCACGGCTCCCTGGTTCAAAAAATTCATTGAAATCGCGTACCGATTTGAAGCAGTGTCATATCAAATAAAAACCTAATCATGGTGACTGACTCACTTTAAGTTATTCACATTTAAAACAAAAACATTCAAAACCAATTCCGTGTGCAGACTTAGAAATGCGCCACTTGAATGAAAATGGCATAACTCCTCACCACAACCACTAATTATAAAAAATTCTAAATTCCTGTGGAAGACGAGACCTGTAATAACCATTCATATGAAACACTCAGTTTTTTTTTCAATATCATTTATTTGCCACGAAAAAAAATGGTAAACTTGGGTCGAGATCATCCTGACTAGTGACTCGCCCTGTATAGGCCTACGTAAGTACGTGTACATACATAATTATGGTAAAACCTAACCAGATGAAAATTGGGTATTCATAAATTGTTCTCGTGTTTTATAGTTAGGTACGCACTTTGTTAATTGGAGTATTTAATCTATTCATTGTACTGTTGTTTCTAATCGGATTTTTAATCTTTAGATCTTGAATCTCACGTGCTGCATGTAAGAAAAATCGTTGAGTACTAATTATGTAAAAAGAAAAATAATTACAAAAATATAAAAATGATTTCGAATACTTACATTATTTTGCTATATCGCTGTATATTGGCATTTGGTGCACCAAACAAGGCTTGTCTTTGTACTTTGTGAATAAAGTATTCCTAGTTCTCAATGTATATTATTTCTAGTATACGTATTACTTGCGAGTTTTGTCAGAGTTCATACCTGAACTGAATTATTTTCGTTGCATTTAAAAAAGTCTGTGACGAACACTTTTGTGTGATTTCAGCTAAAAAAGCTGGGTTTGAAACAAAAATGGTTATGCAGGGTAGGCCTAACTTTCATAAGATGAGTCCAAATGGCGACGCTATCAAAGACATTTTGCTGAATTGCTCATCTGAAATCTGAGGAAAATTAAAAACAGCTTTTCGCACCAATGGCGGTTATATTGGATTCCAAGCTTGCATTCTGTGGTTGGTCAAGTGACTATGATTTTTTTTTACATTTCATTCCGATATCGTTCAACCCGGCCTGAAGGCCAACGGCAGCAGGGGCAATGGAATATGACACAGGGTAGCGGTGCACCCAAGGGGGGTGGGGGGCACTCGATTTGACCACGATTTGACCTTGGTGATATGTATGTGGCTTATTTTCGAGTAGTATAAGAGGGGTGTAAGTGGCGCCATCAACGTCAAAATAGCCCCCCTCCCCCGCCCCCCCCCCCAAAAAAACCACCCCAAAAAAAAAAAAAAAAAACCACCATTTTTTTCTGCGGCCGAAAATTGTGGGCAACATTTTTTGAAAACAATTTAACTTCCACAAAATTTCAAAAAAACCCATTGTGAGCCCCACCCCCCGCCAAATCCTGGGTGCGCCACTTACACGGGGAAGGGGGGGCGGGGCAGAGAACCGAAGTCTGACGTCAGCTGTCCTTGTTCTGCTTCACACGCTGATGTTTTCATACACTTATAAGCTAAGTGTGCGTGAACCAGAAAACGCGATACCCTCCGTCCGAAAAAAATATGCCAAAACAAGGCCAGCAGATAAAGCGATCGATCAGCGCAGGAAGGCCACCTATCAGCCGCTAACACGATCGCAAAGAAATGGAAAGTCACCCAACCCGAACGAATGGTTTCGGCTGGCTACTCTTCAAAGGAATAAGAAAAAGTTGAAGGAAACAGGAGCAAAAAGATGAATTGGATTTAAAGATTAGTGGCAGAAGGTACCTTGGAAGTGCTATAATAGGACGTGGCGCGACAGTACGTCAGCTTATATAAACATATCTTTCATTAGTAAATGCATTTTCACCGGTTGCTAGTGCGTTACCATTCAGCACTCCAGAATCAAGAACCATTCACTTTGTTTTAATGAAAACGGGCCTGAGAGCGAGATAAGGAGATTTCAGAAGTTCCTGGACGTCCACGTACGCCAACCCGAGCAGAACGCGGAGATAAGCCACGGGTACGGGGACGGGTTCATGGTAAACTTTTCACACCCGTTTGGTTGATGATACCCGGCTTCATATACCAGATCCGTTCACAGCCGGCCGCTCGGAATTCCGTGCAGAATTGATCATGGACAACAAAGGCAAGGACGTTGATTCTTCAGGTAAGCCTCGTTTATCAATTACGGGTCGATTTTTGTTTTGGTTTACGATAGCTGCTCCCTTTCCTCCCCACCCCCCCCCCCCCCCCCCCCCCCCACCCCCAGTTTCTTGTGCGTCATTACAGACGGCACAAAAAAATTATATTCCTAATTATTGTGCCCCATCACCCTGAAAACTTTGGAAGTGGGGTTTGGCATGTCTAATATTATACTAAATCACAGAGAAGTAAGTTATTTAGCATTATCCTTTTATAATCGTTAGACGTTGGACAACCTCCATTCGACCAGTAGCCAAGAGTAAATTTACAGATGGAGCGGACATATGGGAACCTCATTTTCTGGAGGTTCTGACAATGAAATGGTCATTTTTGCCTTCCACGTCACCTCGCCCCTTACCACTTTGCCCCATTACTACTTAGCCCCATTGTAAATTAGTCTGCGTATCACCCGTTATCCACGGAGCCAAGTCCTGTATAACGTCTGATATGTCCAGACATGCAGATATATGCAAGCCGCGCGCCAGCCAATCGGAGTCGACTTTACTAAATCGTGACGTCATTTCATTCCTAAATCAGGACTAAATGGTTTGATTGGTCAATTCGACTGCAGTGTTTTGTAATACAACAACAGCCGGGCGCGATATCGCCTAACATGATACAGAGTGCGTGAGACATTTTTTTAATCCATTGTCTATGTGACGCGCAACGGGTGAATGACCGAAGACTCGATATAGAAAGCGCCCGCTGATTGGTCAAAATGTAGGAGGTCAACAGGCGGGGTCTTGCCTAATTAATCAGCAAATCTGCTCACGCATAATAAACCATGGCGTAGGCTAATTACATGGACTTATTGTACATTGGAACAGCATACATTAACGGACATAATTCCTGCAACGTAAGAGCGTCCTCCATAGACTAAAAAAATCTCAAAACTACAAGTTTACAGATGGAAAATGGCGTCACAGGTTTCCTGAACACCCGGAACAAGTGTGTCTGTTGTGATCTTCATGGTCGATTTAAAGGTGGTGTTAAATGCATGACTTTTTTGTAGGCTGTAATATACAAATACTGACGTAAAGATTTTTCAAAAGGAGAAACATGCATTGACAATCCAAACAAATCCGTATTTTCAGATGGAATGACCCCAGCTACAGCGTTCTATATATTGAGCGTTTATTAATCCTATAACTGTCAAGGGCGGTCCAAGTAAACGCGGACACTTTTGGTTCGAACTAGATGCCAGAAGGACAGTGACACAATCGAACCTCGAGGTCCGATCGTTAATGTCCTTCATTGAACTAGGTTCATCATTATTTACACCAGAGAGTTGGTAAGGGTCGTCCATGCACACCTAATTCCACCTAAAGCCCTATAGACATTTATTAGACAATATGCAAGGTAACCACCTTGGATGGCGCAATGCTTTCTTCTGACATGCCATATGGAATTTTGACTGAAAATTGAAATCCGGCCTATGTAAATTCCCTTACAATGGACTCTATAATGGACCAGTGGTGCAAATCCGTGTCGGCGTGAGTTTGTCTTACATACGCAGTGTGGACTTCCGAACAAAAGACGTCCACATAATGTAGGTAGCACCGACGTTGTGTGGACTTACCCCACGTCCACACAGTGTTTCCCCATTTCTGGAAAACAGGTTTAGAGGCATTTTTGGGTTAGGTTTATCTGTAGCAGAATGAAGAGAAACACTAAAGGGAATCATAGGGTTGAAAGAGTTTTCACAGTTTGAGAAAAATGAGTTTTTTCACTGGTTTTTCTTAACTACACGAAAGCAATGGAAAGTCCACACTAGTCATGTGAAACAAGTATGGGTGTGTGTGTGTGTGGGGGGGGGGGTGTGTGGGGGGGGGGTGATGGGGGGATGACCAAAAATCCTAAAATTACCCGACCGTGGGAAATCGACAAGTGTGTGGGGGATGGGTGGGGGTGGGGGCACAACACATGACACTAGGGGCGCTGTTCATGATTGGCCCTCCCCACCCCCACCCCAGGATTGACGCCCTTACCTGTCACTGTCCTAAGGTTATGTTCACTAAGGCTTGTTGCTACATTATACACTTGTTTAAGTATACACCGAGTGTTAATATATATTATGAACTGTGAAATGGAAATAAATGTGATTGAATTGAATTAAATGTGACCCATTATTCCCCTCATTGTTAACAGGTATGGCAGTCAACCACAATGGCAACGAAATTAAGGAAGAATTCGCCATGGAGAAACAAGTTGACCACAAGAAACCCAGCAAGGTGTATCTGGTACTTCTGATCATACTGGCTTTGGTAGCTATCGCTGTGATCATACCTCTAGGTCAGTACTATACTGTATGAATTATCCTTTAGGCCTATAACCATTTGTTCTACTTAAAAAGCATAACTTTGTTAACCGAACAGAGTTTAAAAACTAGTGCAGAGATTTTTTTTCAAAATGTATCAATACCTCTTCATTAACACCCCCCCCCCCAAAAAAAAGGGTTGAAGGCTTTTCGTTTCACTTGCCTCCGTGGTATTCTTACGACAGTTGTGATCGCTTTGGAGAAAAATGAGCTGGCGAAGGAGGTGGAGGAATTGAAGTCGGCCGAACAATCCAAATCCAAGACATGCACCTCGAAACAGTGCATCAAGTCAGGTAAAGTTTCCACGCGATACGTTTTGATCTTTTGTCTTTAGGTAAAGTCGAATCCGGACACGTGGTCCCTGTACACCCACGGAGGCCCCCCTTAATGGCGTAAGTATTGGGCTAGCTGGTATAGAGCATGAACTTCCATGACAGTTATCCTGAATAGTTTACCTAAGTTTTCTGTTGCACCTCAGCATGTTAACAAATCTCTTATGCGAATTTGTGAGGTTCTGAAAAGGAAAGAAAAGCAGGGGACGACGGGCAGAGCATACGGTCCAAAACGTAGAAATTTACCGGTTCTTTTAAGAAGCTCGACCTCATACTCACAAAAGAGATGTTTTGCATGCACTGCAAAAACTGGAGTGTTAAATTTACACCATTGGTATCTATATAGGACCATCTGGTGTTAAATTTTACTGATGTTGTCCTATATAGATACCGAATGGTGTTAAATTAACACTACAGATTTTGCAGTGTGGTGCAAACGTCAACCTAATGTATTATTGCTATCGTCACCTTGCAAACCTTCAAATCTTATCAGTTATCCAGAACACAGACACACCTCCTTCTCCATTGAAGGAGGGCTCCGTGATAGAAGTGACAGCGTGCCCTGATTGGTCGAGACATTTTGTTTCTGTAACATATCGCTAGGTTCATTAAGTTGTCTTGACATGCATTTTCATAGGCAAAATGGTTTGGGCATGAGGGTGCATGAAGGTCTATAGACTTTATCAAAAGAAAAGCAGTTTTCCTGCACCCATCATTAACAATTGGTTTATTCGTTTTCATGATGTGATCGAAAGAGATCAGCAATTGCTCCTGTATTTATTGGTTCCAGGTAACAATTTACAGCGAGCAAATGAAATCAGCCCAAGTGGGTGGGTACCAATAGCGCTGCTTCATCATTAGCCGAACTAATTTGTGCCTATCAGGCAAGAGTCTGTTGAATGGACCGATCCAGTAAGCACCGCCCCATGGTGTTCCGACCAATCACAGCCTAGTCCGACATGCGTGCACGCGCGTATGATGCGCGCAGCAGGAAAATGCAGTGTGGCAATGGAGAGGAGCACGTGTTAATTTGCCCAGTGCGCAGCGGGCGGGCTTACTTGATCGGTCCATTACGCTATACTTGGGGGGGGGGGGGTGGAGGGGCTAGAGACACGTTCTGATATACTTTTCTCGAATGCAGGAAAATTGTTTAGTGATGCCATTTTTTTCTACGTTATCCCAGCCGCCATCTATCTCGACAATATGGACCAAGACGTCGAGCCTTGTGACAACTTCTACGACTACGCATGCGGGGGCTGGCCGAAGAGAAACGTCATCCCGGAGGACAAGTCAAGGCTCGGAGCCTTCACACTGCTAGACGAGGAGGTGGATGTCAAACTGAAAGGTGTGTACAATTCTGTACAGTCATGTACATTGTTCCTGGGGTAGAAAACACAATATAACAATTATTTAGACCCATACAGGGTGAGTCAAAAAAAAAAGCGAAACCCAAATGTTCGGACCATTGTTTTAGTGAAGGCCTGCATATATCACTTTCAAAATGTAGGATGCAAAAGCCCAATTCATAAGATTTCTTTTAGTATAAGAATCATTCAAATCACTCATGTACTTTTTAAGTTACGGCATTTTAAACACAACCACCGGTTTAAAGTTCTGTCCACGGATCACAAGAAGGTAAGTGTTCTTTCAGCAAAACGAAACGAAATCACATTGGGATGTGTGTGAATTGTTTTCGTCTTGCTGAAAGAACGCACGCTTTTTTTGTGATCCGTGGACAGAACTTTAATACGGTGGTTGTGTTTAAAATTCCGTAACTTTAAAAGTACACGAGTGATTTGAATGATTCTTTGCACAAAAGAAAGCTTATGAATTGGGCTTTCATATATCTTAGATTTGAAAGTGCTACATGCAGAACTTCACTATAACAATGGTCCCGACATTTGGGTTTCGCTTTTTTTGACTCACCCTGTACAGAAATCTTTAGAAATCTGGCTACATGCATAAAGGGAAACGCTATGGAGATTGAAAAAGAAGGGAAACAAAGGTTTTCCCCTCCAGTATACTCTTTGTGGACCTGTGAACAAAAGAGATCCACAGGATGCAGGAAGCGTGAACGCTTTGTGGACTTGCACACATCCGCACTAGGTTTCCCCTAGGTTTAGAAGGCATTTTGGGGCTAGGTTTATCTGTCGCAAAATGAAGAGGATCACCATGGGCGTCGTCAGGATTTTTTTCATGGGTGTCGCCAGGATTTACAGCACTATGACTTCGCGCCTCTTTTTCTTTTTCCCTCTTTTTTCTTCTTCTCTTTTTTCTTTTGCTTTTCCGGGGGGGGGGGGAGAAGCGCGCCCCCCCCCCCTTGCCCCCCCCCCCGCGACGCCCATGTGGATCACTCAAGGAAAGCAAGATAAAACAAATTGGGTTGAAGGAGAGTTCACAGTGCAAGTAAACAAGTTTTTTCTCCGGTTTTTCTAAGCTATTCTGAGCTATTCACGAATACAAAGGAATGTCCACAGTGGGTATGGTTAAGTTAAGTCTGCTAGGTTGTGTGTTTGTCGGACTTTAGGACGCTTTGTTGCATCAGATATATAGAAGCAAAGACATCATGCGCATGCTCATAATCATCAACGCGGCAAGTGCGCGCGGCATCCATTTGTATCGTATATAGAAAAGTGTTTATCGAGCCATTAACACTTTTGTCGCATATTGTTGTGAATGAGTTTTCAATGGAAATGTTATTGCTACTTAAATTCAGTTTTTTTTGTTTACTTGATGGTCTTTAGAATTGTTCGAAAGAGAGGGAAAGCACAGCAAGGCGAAATCCATCAGGGGAGTTCGTAACCTCTACAAGTCGTGTCTGAACCTAGGTGGGTGGCAACTTTTTGTCCCAGCTATCAATGAGCATGTCATCATAGATCATGCAATGTGAACTCAAAACCAGGATGTGGTAGGTCCACTTCGTTTAGGAGCTACAACTAATATAACGTCATGTTGTTTGAATTTTTTTACCATGGTTAGGTTTATCTGCTCATTAATGCAATAAATTGGTTCCGTGAAAGAAAAATCATTAAATTAACGTATTGAAAATTGTGCATTGATGACTATTACAAACTGGGGGGGGGGGGGTGATGTTCAATAGATCATGCAGATAACAAATGGGTAAATACAAACAAGATATGTGACTACACTGTTTGTATACCAATAAGACTTTCTAATGAGAAAACTTGAAATGGCGAGAGTTGCATGCTCTGTTGTTCGCAGCAACTGTAAAATAACTGTTTCCTTCGGTGTCTGCTCTCGGACCTTGTGCGCAGATCACATCAACGAGAGGATTTCCCAGCCCCTGGTGGAGCTGCTGGTGGCCGTGGGTGGCTGGCCGGTGCTCAGCAACATCTCGGGTGGCAACTGGGACCCGATCAATTTCCATTTTGAGAGATTGTGGGCCCTTCTGGATGGCAAATACGGCGCTGAAATGATAGTCTCCTCGGAAGTCAAACCGGATGAACGGAACTCAAAAATTAACGTATTAAAGGTATTTCCATAATATTTATCCTTGAGCAAGTTCGGGCAAGAACCATTAGTCGACTAGTGGTTGATTTGTGACGTAACTTACGCCTGCGCACTATAAACAACGCGCGAACGTCTCTATAGTGAAACACTGGTCGATATGTCATCGCAAAACTTCTGGATCCTGGCTCCCTGCTGTACGTTATGAATGCTTGCAGCGATGCATCCAGGCCGAGTAGGTTGGTTTCAACTAGTCAACTTGCGTAGTCAACCATCGTCGACTAGACAGAGTTCGGGCTAACTTTAGTCGAATAATAACCATTGGTCAACGATAGTTCTTGCGCGAACTTGCCCCTTTATGTAAAAGCTTTAGCCTTTTTCGACTGTGAGTTTGGACTGAACTTTTTGGTAGCAGCTACAGGGAGTCTGCATGCATGCTTGCCTGTGGGCAAAGAAATGCTGATCAGTGATCCTATTGGCTAATGAAATCCGAATGGGCTTTTCAAACGGTTATCTCCAGTCAATAAACTATTGGCGTTCCTTTTTTTTTTTTTGCAGATTGATCAACAAGGTCTTGGTCTTGAAAGCAGATTACTACCTAGACGCAGGGTTTGAAACGGTAAAGCAATTCACACATTTCAACCACTGAACACACACACCGTCAGTGACACCACGAAGTAAGGCCAAAAAAAAATAATAAGTCGGTCTCTGGTCAGCGCGCGCGTCGATTTTAAGCATGCGCGTCGATCTTTTTTTTTTCCAAAATGTTCCGCGGTAGCTCCAACAGCGCCCTCTATTTCCGCACCTCCTCAATTTTTTTTACCAAAGATCACCAAGGAATGGGAAATTGCACCAAGGCAAATGATTAAAAGCACCAAGGCAAATTATGGAGGACACCAATGTACATGAGGACACCAAAAAAGCAAAATAGTACCCCACCTTGTCTGTACAATCCAAGCTTGAAGAGAAAAAAAAAAGCAAAAAAAAAAAAAAAAGCCGCGTGGCCGCGTCAATTCCGGAACTTTGGTCTGACCAGAGACCGAATATTTTTTTTTGGCCTAACACTGAAAAATTGCCTGGGTTAACTTTACCCAAGAAAGGGTGAAAACTTAAACTACCCAAACTTGGGTTGTTCTATAACCAATTGTTTGGGTTAGAATTTATGTTGAATTCAACCAAAAGTTGTAGTCATACAAGACCAAATTCAACTTGGTCTTGAATTACCACAAGTTTTGGTTGAATTTAGCAGAAATTCTAACCCAAACATTTGGTTATAGAATAACCCAAGTTTGGGTAGTTCCAGTTTTCACCCTATCTTGGGTAAAATTAACCCAACCAATTTTTCAGTGAACACCCATTGAGTTCGCGCTACGCGAGCGTATTCCCGAGTGTTTTTCGTTTTCACGAAGAATTCATGTACACTGTGCGCTGAATTGGTCATTTTCGTTTTCACGTTGTTTGACACTCATCTTTATTTCACCAGTTTGAAGGCCTTTTATTAAAATTATCAGTAATTCTATACGAATACGGATACATTACATTCCTGTCAACGTTTTGAAATGTTTTTATCCAAATAGTATTTCCGTAACAGTGTTGTAACTTTGTGACAACGAAAATCGTTCGCGCCAGTGTCCAATGTGCTTGCGCACCCTTGAGTGTTCCTTCGTAAAAACAACAATTGTCGGCAATCGGTTTATAAAGTACCACTGAAGTAGACTTTGGTGTTACTTCGTGGAATCTGTGACGATACGTCATTCCTAAAATGGGCATTGCAAAAGCTTATGACCTACTTAAATGAGTCTACCCACAAAGTGATAAAGGTCTCGAATGTTTAAGAATGCTTGGGTGAACTGTTATAAAACGAAAATGAATACTTAAAACTTATTTCTCTCAAATCTATAGAGAGATCGGAGTGCAGAAGGTTGCAAAGTGACTTCTTTCTCTCCCTTTCGGTGATTCATGGTAACTTTGTTATTACTTATACAGGTGAAACATGCAGTTACAGGTAAAACTATTTTTTTTGTAATGTATGACATGGTATTGAAGGCGTTTTTGTTTACCTCTGTCTTGTATTATTTTGTCTTTTCAGGAGAGAGCGGCATATCTACAGTACATGGTAGACATCATTGTTGAGCTGGGCGGGGACGATGCAACGGCCAGATCAGAAATGACCGCCGTGTTGGAGTTCGAAACAGCCTTGGCAAACGTGAGATGCAACGATAATTTCCCGCCCTTATTGTAGCGTTTCTTTCTATAAAATGGCGAGGGTATATACTTCCCGGAATTAGGAACAGAAATCACTGGCATACAAAGGTCACAGTTTGTGTCTGCTGATTCCAAGCGAGGCATAATTTGGCAGAGTTTGGGCCTTATTCACGCCAGTTGGCCATTTTTGTCGGTTTCCTGAACGCATTTCATTAGGCCTAAGTGTTAACTGTGTAATGGAGTATTTATGCAGGCACAATGCAGCATTCTTTTTTATATTCTGGCTTTAAACATAAGGAAAATTTTAATTACAAATTTAAAATTATTCCCTGAAGTAGACTGGAATTATTAGTAATTAACTTGCTTTCATTTCTCTTCGCAAGTTCCAAAAATTAAGATTTGATCTCACTTTCAATCCAATATGGCCGACTCGTGAATAAGGCCCACTGAGATTCCATTTTGTCTTTAATCGGCCTCATTTTCTGAAGGCACAAATCTGAACATGTATATTTAAACTACAATAATATTTGGTTGATATGAAAGCACTCAGCAGTTTTAGGTTAATAATTGTTTTGCATTAAATTTCGGAGAATAAATTACCGGTATAAAATAGGACGCCACACTCTACTTAAAAAGTTAAAGTTTCAGAAGTCAGTGACAATGGTAGTTCTGCAAATTGTTGTTAGGCATGCAACAGACAAATCTTTAGAAATACATTGTATTAAGTATAAATTTGTTAATGATGTGATTTTTGACATTTTTTCCACCGTCAGATGACTGTACCAGAGACCGAGAGGAGAGACCACGAGTCGTTGTATAATCTGTACACCCTGGAAGAACTGAACGAAGCCTTTCCCCAGGTAAGGCCTTTAGAAGAATTGTTGGTCGTCAGTTTAAGACTCGTTTTACCTGAATGTCATAGCAGGACATGCTGCAAATGAATAGTTGTAGATTACCAAAGCTTACAACGGCTTAAGGAATTGGGCCAGAATTAAAGGGCTTATGAAGTTAATATTTCTTAGAAACATATTTTGTGCCACATTCATATCATCTTAAGTGTATGAAAATTAATTGATAGGCCTTTTCTTTTTGGTTAAGATTGCTGAAAAGTGCACTTCTTTAAACATTTAACATTTCCCATACTTGTCCGGACAACTGAGGGCGCTGTTGTCTTGATGTCATTTCAGGGAGAAACTGTTCATATTAGGTGTTTTTTCTATTGAAATAGTGAACCCCCCCCCCCCCCCCAGAAAATGCTTATTGAAAACATTTGTGAGAAAATTTTGCTCATTGGCTTACTGCCATGAACTGACACAACGAATCACTAATGAAAAGAAAGTTTACGACCTTGAAATATCCAAAATTTTCGCAACTTTGTGTGCATAAACTAATGGCAACATTGAAGTTTCTGCCTGATATGACAGCACACTTTTGATCATGAATATGAAAATTTGCATTAGCATAAAAACCAGAAAGGCACAAATACCCTTGAAAATGGCAAAATGAAAATTGAAAATAAGGTTAAAGAGACACAAAGGTGCATTTTCAAGGATTACATTAAACAAATATATTACATTTCAATTTCATGGGTCCTTTTGTACTTAAAAGTACTACTTCTAGAATACTCTGATTCCTTCTATTTAAAAGAATCGTTTCATAGTCTGTTTTCTGTCGGCATTTCTTTTTAATGTTTAGATCAATTGGACACTGTGCCTTGATCTCATCATGCCGGATCAAGTCAAGCCCATCTTACCGACGGAGCGCATCATCGTCAGGTCGCCTCTGTATCTGGAAAAGCTCAACGAGTGGCTACCGCGGCAGGACAAGCGGTCAGTCACACTATGACGCTTCTGACACTGATGTCTGTTTGTTCCCAGAAACCTGTTTGTTTTTGTATTCGAAACTGAAGTTGTAAAAATCTGTTTTGTGTACAGAAAGCTTGAAAAGTCATGGATGCACATTCAGTTGAGTTAATTAAGATTAGTTGTGTGCTTTAATTCCACGATATATGGGAACTACGATGTAATTTGTCAGTTTTAATTTATAAAACTCATTCTTTTGGTAGTAGGTCAAATCGCAAAATCCATCGTTCCGTAATTATACTCCTGGCTATCGTTGTTATCCCTTGAGCCTAGACAATAATTATAATACATGTAACCCCTTCATTGTTTGGAATGACTAAGTGATCGTGTTAATTGGTAAACATCATGGTCAGCACACTGGGAAAATAATATAAATCTTTCATTTCTGTTTGAACCGTCCAGAATGATCGCCAACTTACATTGCGGGGCAACTGTATATGTCATGGTCAGCATAAAATTATAACGAAAAAAAAAATACATTTCCATATCGGCCAGAGTGATCGCCAACTGTTCATCATGACGTGGCCAATTATCAAAATCATGGTCATCAAAGTCAACATTATGCCCCCTCTTCATTCCTTTTTTTGTACCGGCCAGGGTGATCGCCAACTATATGGTGTGGCGATTGGTGAAGGAAATGGTTGAAGTCCTCGGCAAGACCTTCAGTGATGTTCGCCAGCGGTACCTGAAGGTGATCGAGGGGACGTCCTCAGCCCGGCCCGCTGGGTGCGATGCGTCAGCGACACCATAGACGCGCTGCCCTTCGCCGTTGGGCGGATGTACGTGGACGAAAACTTCCCTGCAATCGCCAAAGAAAGGGTATTAATCACAACAGTTCAAAGCTGTTAGATGCCTTTTTAACCTTCACCGATAAGCCATTTTTAAAATTATATACAGAATCTTCTTCAATTGAAAATCATGTACATACTTTTTCTATTTTTTTTTGGGGGGGGTAGATATGGCCATTGCTTATCAATTCCGTTACTGGAGTGTTGGAAGAATCAATCAATCAGCTTTATGCTCTCTTCTTATGCAGACAATTGAGATGATCGGCAACTTGAAGACTGCATTCAAGGCTATGCTGGAGACCAACGAATGGCTACAGGAGGCGGACAAGAGAGTGGCTGCGGAGAAGGTTAATGATTTGAAGGGTCAAAGTTCAGCAAAGTTTAGCAATAAACCTGTACATACAAGTTTGTCAAATTTTGTTTGTCAACTAACCTTTTGGTCCAGCTGGCACGGGCTATGGCGGGTACCAAGAATTTTGCCTCGTGTTATTCTTGGGTTTTCATTTAGGATACATTTATGCGCATTTCGGTGCTTGAACTTGAGTCGGCTTTGAAGATAATTTCCTTTGTCGACAACTTAATTCCTTCTGCAGATTGACAAAATGCAAATTGACGTGGGATACCCAGATTGGATACTGGACGACGGAAAACTGGATGAAGAATACGAAGGGGTAGGTTTGCAAATGTGTGTACCAAACTACGACCCATAATAGAAAGAAAAACTGAACCAGCATCATTTACTTTCAATTATACGATGTTCACGTTGTGTGCAACGTAACCTGTTTAAAGATAATTTCAACTATGACCCAGGTGAAATGAAACGAGAATTATATTACCACCCCTCTTGAATTTTTTTGTTCCAATTTCTTGAATCTTAGCTGAATTTTGATGCTGAAAACTTCTTCGAGAATTCTCTTCTGTACCACCAGTGGGAAAGAGTGAGTGGTCTCGCGACATTACGGGAGCCCGTGGACAGTGCATAGTAAGTGAGAGCCTGTATTATAGTGGTGGCAGCCGTATTTGAGTATGTCATGTATAATCCTTTATAATTACACTCGACAAATGGCTGTTCCAATCAGCACACCGTTAGTCTTACTCATGTACCCACTCCATATTTCAACTCTAACACACAAAGAGATATGTTTTTCCACAATAAAGTGGAATCTAAGTTTTCCAATCGACTTCGAACGATTCAACGGTTCCCCAGTTTGTCGATGTGTTCGTCAAGGGGTGCTAGCCAAAAGCCAAACTTGTATATGCCGTAGGCCTATGTCATAACCTGGGAAATAGCAAACGGGGATTGTTGAGAAAAGATATATCTTTTTAATGCAAATCGTCTTTAACTCAAAAAGGAAAACTGACTAGGTGCATATATAATAACTATAATAATGTTTCTGAAGTGCACATCGTAGATTTATTTTGTTTCCGACTGTTTCTTTGTTTTATATATGTGGTATTGTGCTTTGAATTCATACTTTACAAAAATCGGATTTCTGTAAAATGTTGCTACTTTTCCAATCTTTCCTTTATAGTTGGCCATTAGGACCGGCTAGTGTCAACGCCTGGTTCGTCGCCCAACAGAACCGAATTAGTAAGTAATTTAGGCGTCCGGGGTGAGCCGAAACATGTTCATTAGTCTGAGGCCAATGTTCCGAAATGACGCCGGGAAACGGGGCGGACTTTTTTTTTCTGAACAACACCACAATGTTTGGGCTCAAACACGGACACAAGTAGTTTGTGTTCAGATTGTATTTTAAATTAAAAATAATTCCCCGTTTCTATCAACGCTTGGTTAACTCATATATGCTGGCAACCTCAATTCCAACTATAGCAGTAAGACAAAATGGGTCATTATATTTAGGCGCATGTCCGTGACTGGATGATGCATGGCCTTTTTTTTGTTCAGATCTTTTGCTACGTTTTACATCTCTTTTGTTGGAAGCGTTTTTTTCATTTTGACTTTCATTTCCCGAAGTTAAAAGTAAAACGCTCGTAAGATCAAACACTCTACAGGGTGAGTAAGAAAAAAAGAAATCCAAAGGGCACCCCTACTATTTCAAAGAAGTTCTGCATGTAGCGCATTCCAGATCTAGGATATGAATACGCTTCTTTTTTTTTTTAGTAAAGGAATCATTCAAATCGCTCATGTACTTTTGCAGCTCATGTATTTTTGCAGTTACTTTTGCAGGAATTTCGAACACAAACACCGCTTTAAAACATTATCCACGGATTACACATATTTACGCTTCATGATATTTCAGTAAAAATGAAACCATGTGGCATAAAAAAACCAGATATCAGAATAATTGTATAAGTCCCCAGGGTAGCCAAGTAGAAGGAAGGGCAAGACTAAAACTCTTGTTGTTTTGACATTCGAAGCAAAAGGTTTTCTGGAAAAGTATTGAGCAATATGAACGATTTGTTTACAAAATAAAACTTATGAATTGAGCTTTTACATCCCAGATCTGAAATACGCTACATGTTGACATGCAAACCTACTTTAAAAAAAAATAGGAGTTGCCATTTTTTAATTTTTTTAACTCACCCTGTATACGGGGAAATAAGACAATGACAATTGTAAAAATGACATTTGCAAAATCTGATCCCAAAAAATCAATGTCATTTTGTCAGACCCGCTTTTTGCATATAATTACTGCACCTCGTGTGTGGTAGAATATCTTGAGAGACTCACACTTGTCAAAAACATCTTTCATTCTGGTGTTTTTGTTTTTTCAATTTCTTTTGACAGTTTTCTTTGCCGGGATTCTTCAGCCTCCTTTCTTCCACCATGATCTGCCATGGTAATATTGTGTGGTTTATTCTCATGAGATTTCGAATTAATGAAGGAGATGTTGAAATTATAAGATCAGTGATCCAAATTATGGCGCCTACTTACAGTAACAGTACTAATAAGGTAAATTTGTTTTATTCTTGAAATAGTAACTTTTTTTAATAATCACTGCTAAATCAAAGGTTATTATTATTAAAAATAAATAAATAGGAAACAAAAGAGGAAAAATAAATAAGAAATATTTTTTCATCTCACTTTTGGATATATATGATTGTTTTCATTGTTTTAGGTATTCTAATTTTGGTGGCATTGGTATGGTTATCGGCCACGAAATTACACATGGATTTGACGATCGAGGTAATAAAGTCTAATTTTTGGATACATGAAGTTTATCATTTAACGTTTGGTTATGTAACTCAAATTTAAACAGAATAATTTTTTCAACATTTCTTTTTCGAGAAGACCAAAGACATTGCTGAATTCTCGTTTGACACCGTTGCACGTTCAAGCCTTCCGCATCTGGTGATCTTGGCTCCAATCCAGTAGCTTAACAGGGGGTCAACGATCTGGAACGAAATCTCTGTCACTCTAAAGGGTTCAGATCTGTGAACTTGAAGATTTGTAAAAAAAAAAAAAAAAAGGAAAAAAAAGGGCGGAGTCGTGCAGAGGACTGCGAGCTCGTATTTCTGTGAAATTTGGATGAATATTAAAATGGCTCTATTTTGCAATGGAGCGTAGGCGTTCATTTTCAAAATTTAATTTTATGGTGGTCTCCAACACCTTTGAGAGTTGCGAATATTTTATAATTTTCGGAAGTACTTGTAATTGGACAGTTGGATGATATCTATACCCATCATGCAGAGCTTTTTTTGTTCTGAGGAAAATGAAACGATTACGGTAGATTTTAAACCATTATGATCCAACACGTGTCCGTTGTTACGTCCGATGTAGGGAGACAGTTTGACGGGGATGGCAACCTGGTCAGCTGGTGGAGCGCAGATTCGGTGGTCAAATTCAAAGAGAGGAAGCAATGCATTGTGGACCAGTACGGGAGATACGTCGCACCCGAGACCAACGAAAATGTGAGAGTCAATCGCTTGCATGACTTCTGTAGTCAGTTTAACCGATTTATAGCATTGGATACATTATTTTCTAATATCCTTTTTTTTTTTAAGAATTGAGCTTGTTTTAGATTCTTCAAAATTAGCTTGATCGTTGGGAAAGAGTTTGAGTATTTTTTTCATACATGATTTTTGCTCATTCTATCCACGTTCACTTTGAGGCCCTATAGTTTGATTAAGTGAGCATAGCATGCGGCATCTTTGAAATTTTTGAACAGTATATTGGACGTTATAATTATGGTATTCTTGATGTTTATACGTAATACTGGGAAAATGTTCTCCCCTTCCGATCACGATTTGCCATGATGATAAGTTAACCATATTATCTAATGGTTAAGGTTCCTCTTTCCTAATACTTTATATACAGCTGAACGGAGTCCAGACACAGGGTGAAAATATCGCCGACAATGGAGGCTTGAAAGAATCGTACAAGGTTTGTTTAGCTAGTCAAAATATATAGGTAAACTAGGGTAATTTTGTACAACTAAAGAAAAGACCTGCAATGCAGCAAATACAGTCGGTAATATACTTTTGAAAAAGGACTCGGCCAACAAGCAATTGGCATTTCAACACCAGTTTTAATTAATCTCTGGAGGCCCATACCAAATCGTCTTTAGAACGGCCGTTGCATTTAGTAAGCTTTTCTATCATTTTAAACCGTTAGACCTCCTTAATCTCTACAGCATTTTGTTCACTGTATGAAAGCAAACAGCTTGAGGGTCTGTTTTCTAACATTTTCGTTTGTTTTCGCTTTTTCTTGCAGGCCTACATCGATAACGTGTCCAAAGAACCAGCTCTACCGGGGTTGAACCTAAACGGAGACCAAATGTTTTTCCTTTCATTTGCTCAGGTACAAACACAAACTTTGTAGTCTTTCTTCCTGAAGGCCCCAGAATTAATTCGGGCGATTCACAATGCAGTGCACCACCAAGAGTTTGCCACAGAAAGTCCAATTTTTTTTTAAGTTTACGGTCGACAAAACATGGCCCATTTGAATGAGTGTCAGTATATAGACAATTAACTTTGTGGCATAGCGTTCTGCCGCCTTTCAAAAAAAAAACACTTTGTTGATAAAAAGAAACGAAAAGGGCAAACAGATACTCGAATCATACGCTTACGAATTTCAAATGTCCCGCGCTGCGAATTTGTCGACCATCTCTCATAATGCACTGGGCAAAATGAACTCTCCGTGGCAAACTCTTTGTGGCGCACTGCATTGTATATCGCCCGAATTGCTGTTTTTTCCCCTCCTGTGATTGCCAAATGTATCAGTTTCATTACGTTTGCCCGTTTCAGTTGTGGTGTGGTGCCTATCGGCCAGAACGTGTGACTTCACAAATACTGAAAGGTATACACAGTCTTCCCCGATTCAGGTAAGCTATTCGTAATTTTCAGATTTCATTGTCTTGATAGACCATTATCATGTTGCAGCCATTTGATTTTTTTTCCCATTCAGATCGATGTAACCAAAGCGAGGCTGGAAGGAAAAATAGTCTGGTTCCTTTTTGCACAGAAACATTATCATTCAGTACTGTTGTGGATACAGGGGACATGACTGAAAAGGTGGAAGCATGATAAAGGTCTATGGGATACGAGGGAGGCATGGACACATAATAGTTGGTGCTGTTTATGGTAAAGAAAGGAGTCCGATTTCCTGACCTAACGATTTCCTAGGGTGCTCCCCAGCATAAAAAATCCCATAGACAGTAGTGATCAATCCCATTCTTCAATGTTTTTTTTTATAAAATACTCAGTAAGATTTTAGGCTTTGCATGGTGGAGATACTAAATAATGAAAGGTTTGCGGAAACACCATGTGTGCATAATTTCTCAACATGGTGTTTCCGCAAACCTTTCATTATTTATAAAATACTCGGAACTCTCACAGCCGGGTGGGTGTTTAGGCTGCACAGAAGACATGATGATCGCCATGTCATCCTCCGAGTTTGTTTTGAATTTTTGATGGGTTGACCAATGACTTTATGGAGAAATTCTCGAGACGAGAAGAGCACCCCTAAAACGAACGATGTTTCCCAAACTGGAAAAGTAGCCATTTTGGAAAATAATGGCTATGCTTTGGCTAAAATGCGTCACTTTCGGTCCCAATTGCATCAAAATGCTCAGAATTGGAAGCCCCAAGTCCCGGCCAGAGGTACAGTCAATTCCCCAATGCCATGCCCTCAGAATTAACTCTCTACAAAAGAATAATTTGAGTGTTTAACTTGTATTTATGCAAAATGACCTCGGGCGGACGGATTTTGGGCATATTACTGGGGTGACGCCTGCGGTGAAGTTTGTGGGAAGAAGAGGCTTAATGAGTGACCAAAATTTACACTTAAACACAGTGGATAATTGGATCTTCCTTTTTTCAGGGTCATCGGTCCGTTGCAAAACAACGAAGACTTCGCCAAGGCGTTCAACTGCCCGTCGACAAGCTACATGAACCCATCGGACAAATGCAATGTCTGGTAGCCGCCGCCCGAGTCCAGACATCACATTTAATTTCACTTTTTTTGTCCGTGTTTCTTTCATTTTTCATTTTTCTTTTTTTGAAGAAGTGTTGATCAAAGTTTACGTCACTGTAGAATACGTTTGGTCCAAAAAGTTTACACTTTTTTTCAGTCACTTATCACCATACACCACCAAGATATTGTAGTTGAGAAATATCTTGATTTTAACATGTCATCCCATTATTTTTAGAAATCTGCGTCTGGAAAAATGTAATATTGTATTTTTACCACCTTATGTAGTACTACGACCCTATCTGATTTCATTTGACGCATTATTCGAACCGTTCTCTGCTGGAAAATATTCAGCTTGCTTTCTGTATATAAACTCTGCTCATATCGGGCTTTGTTGTTAAGTATTTTGTTCCAACAGTATGTTTTAATGTGATAATCAGACGATGATTGCTCAGATGTTATACTGGATTTGCCACGACGCTGTTCACGGGACTTAATTGTCTGTCAGATGATTTCTTGAAAATAATTTAGTTTTGATTTTGATTATGTATTGGTGAACTTTCCGTATGATGTAGATTGGTTAAGTTGAGTTTTAGGAAGAGTAAGGAGGTTGTTTAAGTAAGCTATTGAGATGCACAAAATGATGTAGAGATTATTCGGTGTATATAGTTGGGGTTTTTTTCATTTTTTTTTCATCTTGTATTGGAAGTGAGTTTTCATGCATTGCACCATTATGGCCGCGTTGCTGTTTCTCCAACATATTTGATAAAATTGTAATTATGCATAATGTTAGTAATAGCAAACATCAATTTAGGCTTGCTAATATTGTTACCCAACTTAGGTCTGGACCGCTTGTAGAAATTAGATTTACCAGTTTAGCAAAATTGGAACAAGGGTTCAACTTTAAACCATCGTTACTCGACAGATACTTCACAAACTTGTTTTGGTTGGTAATTGTACCCTAGCTCTGTAAGCGTAAAATTGTAACTCTGTATAAAGCGTAAAACTGTTCTCGTCCTTGTCGTTTTCCTTTTTGGGAGGGGTACAAAATGTAGTTATCTGCTCATGCCATGGCACTTTTGTTATATTTTCAGTTAAATATTTCAACTCACGGTGCTGAATGCAAAATCTCGTAAAATTACAATTAGGGGCCTAAAATGTAAAAAACTAACACTCAGTGTTTGACACATTGACCTAGTTTTAGTGCATAAACAAATATTATAGGCCGTTAACTAATGTTTATTATTGTGTATCACTAGATCCTTTTATTACATGTACATTTCAATTTAAATTTGTGGTTTAAATTAAATTTGGGATCATGTAACTTGCGCGTTTGATGACTGTCCAGACATTAACATGGTTTGAGCATTACAAATAAATTAGCTGGTGACACACACAATGGAAAATACATGTATGTTTATTATATTAGTGTTTGACACACCCCAGGAAAATATTGGTTTTTACCAATTAAGTATGATCAGAAGTAGTATGAATTTATTATGAACAAAACTCAAAACAACTCTCTCCCCCCCCCCAAAAAAAAAGACAAACAAAAATACACAACCCAACAACCCCACAAAAACAAGGACCAGACAGTCCCTTTAAGGTCCTGGTATTCGAAATGCTTTACACCGTGATCGGCTGGTACATTACATGTCACGCTTGACCTCACTTCGCCAAGGTGAACTCCCACGTCATGTACCGTGATTGAACGAGTACTATAGACCAGCAGACGTGTGTTTACATGCAGTCACGTTATGGAACGAGGTTTTATCCCACAAACTTCTGGGAACTAAACTAATCAAGCTGCAACTGTATTGAGACTTTACGTTGAAGGTTCCAGCGTGATAGCATCTTGTTGTCGTGCTTGTCGGTCATCTGCGAATTGTGCCACGCAGTATTTGGTAAGTTGACAAACTTGTCTGATGTCGAATGTGGCACTGGTTGGTCGACAGGTTGCATGTGCTTGTACAATCATAGAGCAATTAATGTACTATGGTGTAGGCCATAATAATGTACATTTACTTTTTACTGGTTGATTAATATACGAACATGTATATATTTTACAAATGTGTACGTGTAGGTTTTTGTGGTGCATGTGATTTACTTGAACACCAAAAAAAAGTGTTGGAAAAAACGCAGGACACTTTTCATCGTGTGTATATAGCCCCAGTGTGTCAATCCAAACTTTCTATTGACTGTGTACACAAGCAGCGTCTGCGTAGTATTATTGATCATGCCGAGATGATTTTTTTTCTCAGGGTCAGGAATTAACAACCAGTGGCGTCGCCAAGGGGGGGCCAGGGGGGGCACGTGCCCCCCCTGGAAAACCTAGTGCCCCCCCGAGTGCCCCCCCCCCCCATCAAATGCTGGTGCCCCCCTATCCTCTGCAAAATTCTGCGCGTTGTTAAAATCATTACCTCAAAAATAGCAATTTCTGGAGATATCTTCAGATCGAATTTAGCATCAAATGTGGCACCATTTTGCATCTAGCCCATCCAGGACGGCGATCCGTATCCACCTAAGTGCCCCCCCCCCCATCAAATGCTGGTGCCCCCCTGTGCCCCCCCCCCCCCCCAGACTGAAAAGTCTGGTGACGCCACTGTTAACAACCTCTCATTGCGTGTAAGCATGAGCTATAAAAAAGGAGCAGGCAAAGAGTTGTTGCCATACGTAATTCTTATCTGAAGTTCAGGCTCACACGAATTGGTACATTGGTTTATATACAAGACTAAGTCAAGTGCGTCGAAAATGACAGGTGTTGGAAAGAATACTGTTCACGTGCATATCATATATATCATTTTGCGCCACATTATATTGTGTTTTGTTGGAGTTTAGAACAATAATTGTAAATTGCATGGTCGTTACGACGAAATTGAACCATGGTTGAGGGAGCAAAAAAAAAAAACAACGATGGCATGTAGGTTTCTTTACCCTCCCTGGTTGACCCAAGTTGGGACCAGCTGCACGGTGGTTGTGACCTCACCGCTATGATCGCCATGCATTGTATTTGCACTTATTATGCCGGTCAGGGACTTTCTTCACTCGTGGCCTCGAACTAATACTGGACCACGCGTTGGGGTTCGGAGGGGTGCAGTGCATTAAAGGGAATATACATCATTTGCTTTTGCTGTAATTTTCAGAAATGGATGGAATTGGGGGGTTGGAAATGTATAGCAAATATAGTTACACTGACTTTTTTGAGGTTTTGGGTTCGAAAAAGCTATAAAAACCAAGAAAAACAATCATGTTCCTGTAGTCTGGTTCCCTGACTCCATTTAAGAAGAAACAGAGCAGTTTACATACATTGGGGAATTGTAAGGTCAGGGAACCAGTCTAGCTGGCTTGTACCCGTTCAAAGGTGTGTAATCGATTGCAAACAAGTGCGATGGTCAACTGGGGCCAGTACATGAAAAAAAGCCAGTTTTTTCCAACGCTGATCGGCCGATCAGCGTTGGAAATTGATACAAAAATACCACTTTTCTTGAAAATGACAGTATACCAGGTGCCATGATTTTACAGGATGCTTTACACTGTCATTCACTAACAGTCCAGCAAGGTATTTCAAAATGATTTGGTAGTTTTATTTTTTGATGTTTGCAAATGTGAATTTTTACGCAAGCTCATTAGCATAAAAGGTACCCCCCCCCCCCCTCCCACAATTTATTTTGAAAACGGAGACCGTTTGGCTTTAAAACGGTACGGTGGAATTGTATAAATATGCGGGCCAAGGATCAACTCCCTGGTTTGGGGGCTTCCATCTGAGGGCAGGCTTGATAACCATGGTTGAGCGAGCAAAAAAAAGCCCAACACGATGGCATGTAGGTTTCTTATCCTCCCTGGTTGACCCAAGTTGTGACCAGCTGTATGCAGTGGTTGTGACCTCACCGCCATGATCGCCATGCTTTTAGTATTTGCACTTATTATGGTCAGGGACTTTCTAAACTCATATGGTCTCAAACTTAATGGACCACGCGTTGGGGTTCTGCATGAGGCCAATCGGGCATGTGGATTGAAATAACAGAACGTCGAGTCAACGAATCTGTTAATTCTTCTTTCTTCGTCATGTTCATAGGGGTGAATAAAATCCTAAGTATATGCCGTTAGTACGGCACAAGCTTTTTACCTTCTCTTTGTACAGTTCTTCAGTAATATCCCCTTTGTGTATACATATTTTTTAAATATGCCAAAAAGTTGATAATCTTGAGTTTCCATTTCACCTGTCCGAAAAGATACTCCTTTAAATTTTCCGAAACTTTTCTTGAAAATCAAATTTGACCTCTTCGAGAGATAACACAGTTTGTAAGAGTTTGTTGAGAAGAATAACATGTTTGCTTGTTGCAGCTGCTTTACAAAATTAATTAGCTGCATTTCTATTACACGGTTAAAATGAAGCAAATAATATGAACCAAATCCTCTTCCCGCCAAGCGTCTCAACGATACCACAGTTTCCCTAATGATGTTGTCGTGAGCAAAGTGGGCGTATTTTTCATCGTTTTTTTCTTCTTAAAGCGGGTTGACCGGCTTTGCAAATCCTTTACTAAAGCTAGATAATGCCGCAGTCACGAGTATTATGCTGATTATATTGGCAACCTGTAAATTAAGTCAAAAAATGAAATATTAATCTTAAATCAGAATTCATTCGCTATAGAAGTCTATAGCAGGGGCGCACCCAAGGAGGGGGGGGCCTCGGGGGGCTTCAGCCGCCCCCCCCCCCAGAGATTGTCAATCTTTTATTGATTTATTTTATTGATTTTTTTTTTTTAGTCCCACGATTTGACCTTGGTGATATGTATGTGGCCTATTTTCGAATAGTATATAATAGGAGTGTAAGTGGCGCCACCAACGTCAAAATAGTCCCCCCCCCAAAAAAAAAAAAAAAAAAAAAAAAATGTTTTTCTGCAGCCAAAACTTTAGGGCAAATGTTTCTACAAATTTGAGAAAAAAACTTGTGAGCCCCCAGCCAAATCATTCCTGGGTACGCCCCTGGCCTTTACTTAGACATCCTGACGAGCCAATGAGTGACTTGGTACCACAATAGGCATTAGTTTGATCTACATGTATGTCGTTTGTCATGTGATTACGTGTACTATGCTGACGGGTTAAATTTAAATGCTAAACTGCCGATGATTGTTTACCTGGGACCTATAAGTTAATTCAGTTCATTGCTATTTGTGATAGCCTACCGAAATCTTGAAATGTTGAATTAAGTTTTAATCGTATTGTTGATTAGAGAGAGCTATAAGAGAAACGAGAAATAAATGTTTCTGGTGAGTGAATTAATTAAGATAGATCCGCTGGTTCTTTTTTTGTTGCTTCGTATTATCCCTTTGGCGTTAATTCTCTATCAAAAATGCCGAAGGTCAAGTTGTAGTTGAAGTTGGTAGTAGACTTAGTACAAGGCGTTGTAATGACTGGTTGGTTAGCCATATCGAGGTAAACGTAGTACAGACGATCCAGATTCCTGAGCCGATCATTTGTTGAACAAAATCGGGATGTTTTGAACGAATTATATGATTGTTTTTGACCGAAAAGGTATTTATGAATGGGAATAAATATGTGCTCCGTCGCTATTTATCACTCTGTTTAAGACCACTTAGAGTCTGGGTGCTGATAATTACCCTCGCCTCCGGTTCGGGTAATTATCAGCACCCAGACTCAAAGTGGTCTTAAACAGAGTGATAAAAACCTCCGGAGCACACATTTATTCCCTTATTAATACAACGTGGAAATTCTTAAGTTTCAATGACAGGCGTGTGTTACCCATTAATCAATGGCTTTTTTTCTTAAATTTCTGGACTCTAATTTTTCTAAATAAATAGCTAGTGGCAGGTATTTTATTAGGAAATAAAAATATTTTTTACACCCAGAGAAAGCCGATCTATCGCGAACATATCCGATAATCTAATCGTTTATAAGGACGTTTTTGGAAATGGGCATGATTCTGCCCGTTTTAGTCACGTGCCGTGGTGCTTACCTATCCTTAGATTTGCCAGATCAGACTATTATGGTCTGGGAACCAGACTTAACCAGAGAACCAACAATGGATTATTGCTGTTGGGTGCAGATAGGTAAATCGGTCCAGAATTGCCTACGCCGGCCAATTCATGATTTGCGTAAGATCGCGATCGGTATAAGAGCATCTTGTGGGCCATTAACTTGAGAGTTTGTAAAAAAAAAAAAGAGGGGAGGCAGTGCTCAGAACTGTGAGCTTGTATTTCTGTGAAATTTGGGTGAAGTTGGGCCCTGAAGCGCTCTATTTCGCAAAGGAGTGTATAGGCATTGTTTTTCAAAATGGCGATGGGCTTCAGTACGATTTTTAGATGTGATCATTTTCGGATGGAAATTTCTCCCAAAAAAAGTCATGGGATTAACCCCCAAACATTGAACAGAAAATGAAAGATGATAAATTAAGCTTTAATTTGGTGTGTGTCTTTAACACCTCAGAGAGTTATGCGTATATATTTAAAATTATTTTGGGAAGTGCGCGTAATTACGACTAAGGTCTATGGCAGTGTATTTACTGGTCTGCACCCTGTTGTTTTCATTGTGTAAAGCGGAGCGACCCGCCAGACGCCTTGAAGCGAGACCACTGCATTGCACTTTGAAATTGCATATTGGGGACAAATGAAACATGTTTACCTTTGTGTGACTGGAATTTAACACAACCTCGTGATCAATAATATTGCCCCATAATCCCATGACGCAGTAGTGTGTGTGCGACGAATCATTTCTTTCTCCTCATTCTGCGAGATTTTCTTTGGAACAGAAACAGTAGGCGTAAGTGTTCCTTTTCCGTCAATTTCTTGTGGAAATACATGGTTAGGGCATATTCATTCAAATCAGTTGCTGTAATGAAAACAGTGTTTGCTTTAGTTATCATTTAATGATATATCATTCAAATCAATCAGCAGTATGAAGCTCAGAAAAAAATGGCGTGCGAAACGCGAGTTAATATCGACCTCCGCTCAGTGCACTCCAAAAACTCATTTTCGTTTTGGAAAGCCAAATAGAACAATGTCAACATATAAAACGAAGCTCAACCTGATTTGGCACGACCACAGATTTAATGTACAGGCCTATACGATTTGGATTACTTTTAATATATTTTCGATCTACATTTTTTTCAATTGTTTGGAAGGACAACGTAAATCTAAATGTCATTTCTGGTTTTATTCGCTTGTACGTTCCGTTCCTTCCCTTTAAACTCTGATTTTCAAAAACTGTTTAATAAAAATCGTTTACAGCTAGAATTCGATTTCACGAACTTGCACCTATGAGCAGCAGTTGGGTCACCCTTCACATGTCACGGGCAAGGTCAAACTGCAGCTGTCGTTGCTGTGGATTGTTGTCAAGCCTTGTACAAGGAAAATGAACGTATTTTTTATGTTTTGCAGCCGAAACAGACATTCCAAAATGAAATACAGTGAAATGACTTTTAAGTGGCAAATTGTCTCTTGATTTGCACACGTAGCTAGCGGTTATTGATCATAACGATAGTGCCACGGTAAATGAAATTCCTTTAAGTATACAGACGAGAATACTTAACTTGGAGGATTGAGGATGAATAGTGTTGAAGAACCTGAGGATTTTGGAGGATTGAGGATGAATGGTGTTTGAAGAGGAGGATTATTTTTTATCATTGCAGTTGAATGCATTTTGAGAAGTAGGACTGTCTGACGATTTTGAAGGATTGAGGCGCTAGGTATCCTTCATTTGTACATACATGTAGAATTTTGGAGGATTTTGGAGGATTGACGATGGTTTACTAGGGGTTAGAGTTATAAGGTTATAGTCCGATTATTCTGGGGAAAAAAAGTAGAGAGGTGTATGCACCTACGAGACAAAAAAATAGTGAAAATCGACTGTGTTTCTTGCAGATTTTGTGAGATCGTTCGTCAAAATAATACTTAGTTCTACCGGTACCCAGCAGAAAAGCAGATTTCAACCCTCGGTAATAGTTGAGTGGCCAGACACATGTGACTGCGTTGCGCTCGGGAAGGGGGCGTGATCTCATACGTATAGCAGCTGTAAATACACAAAAACATCTGTTGGCGAAGTCAATATTTGGTACTCTCGCAAAGACAAATTTGCTGGGCAAATATGGTAGCTTAAAGGAGCGGTCTCGTTTTCGAGGATGGAATTTAAGTTTGATGACCAGATATCGGGAAACCTATTATTCGCATGGAACCGAAAGGTTTCTTCGTGGGCATATTATGCGAAGAGCAAGTGGTAAACTTGGGGAGAATCTTTGTAGGATCCGCCAACGTTGAGTTTTTTCCATCGGATAGCAATTAGGAATAGGGCTCGTGTGCATGTTTTAATACCTTCAGTCCAATATTCTTTGCTTAAAAGGTTTACGTAAAATATCAGAATATTTGTCACGGATGACATGGGTGTTTCTGAACAATCACAATGATTCTGCCGTTAGTTGGGCCCTCTAGATGAAATTCAACGATTTGAAGCGGTACGCCGCGGGTACTTCATTTGGCTTATTATGTTCATTTAAAACTCGGAAAGGGCTTATGTTATTTTTAACGCTCCCTGCATTGATATTTAAAGCTTGAGTCATTCGTACGTCTGGCATCCAACGAGACCCATTGTAAAGCCAGGGTGTTACGGCGCTCTGAGTTTCGATTCTTTGTTGTTCAACTTTTTTGCACGACAATAGCCATCTATTCACTGGTTGAAGTCACGCCATTGGTTTCTGAACAGCGCAAATCCGAGTTATAGGCCCAACAAGGAAATGATATGGTACACACACTAACCGTGAAAAAAACACGTACATTGTACATTAGTTAGTTCAAGTTCACATTTAGGATTGATGTTAAAATAATGGCTTTTATGGTTAATAACAAAAAAGAACATGAAGAATATACCATCAAGGTTCAATTTATAAGGCTGTCCTTTTGTTAAAATGTTACCTTTCATTTCAAGCAACAACCTTAGTTTTTCCATACGTGTTGCGTCTTCTCTTTTTTTGGGGGGGGGGGCTTCCAAGTTCTAACACTAAGGTTTAAGCTGATGAGGTATATTCAAACAAAATCAGGAAAGAAAACTGTGACGATTATTCGAATAATGATTTCTGTTGTATGTTTCTTTGTTTTTGGTGTGTGTTTTCTTTACTGTCAGCTTTTTTTTGGTTTACCTGGTTGTTTTGTTACAGTTACCTGACCCCTCTCGAGAGTCACAATGGGAAGGCGTGGTAGTCGAGAGGAGCTGGTCTTTGATGACGGCGTTGGCACCCGGAGGCCCAGCAAGTTCTTTCTCTTCATTCTGTTTGTCATGCTGCTTATTGTCCTAGGTCTGACTGGGGCTTTAGGTAGGCCACTATGTATTTTTTTTTAATATTCACACAAACCTTCTTTTATAGATTACTGAGCCTCTTTTTTTGTTTCTACGTGCTCACTTATTTCCAAAATTAACTGTAATCGAGCAGGGGCGGTGGAACCGTGGGGACTCCCCCCCCCCCCCCCCCGATTTTCCCAAGCCAACAAAAGTGCCCCTCAAACGCACACGTATCAAAGCATAATGATCGTGCTACAAATAAAATTGTCTCCTCTCTTGTACTGCAAAACTACACCTCAAAAACAAAAGTACTCCTCTCGCATTAACAAAATTGTGCACCTTTGCGAGATGGGAAACTACCCCTCGAAAGCACAGATACCCCTCTCGCAATAACACAAAATTGTGCCCCCTCTCAAGATGGAAAACTGGCCCCTAAAAATAATAGTGTTCTTCACGCGAATAAAATGGGCACTGAACTGACTTAAAGCAACAGTGTCCCTCTCGCGATAAAAAAAAATGGTCTCTCCACACAACTAGGTAAAAAAACACAAAGAGTAAGATGTACAACGTATTCATAATGTATGTGTTCCTCGTCATATAGATTTATAGCGAAATGAACGGGACCATATTCTTTTCCTCCACTTTCACACCGACGGAAGGTGCCCCTTTTTCTGAGCAAGTGCCCCTTTTTGGTGTTGAACCACCCCCCCCCCCTCAGTTTGAAAAGCGTTCCGCCGCCCCTGTATTTGAGTGAAAATTTCCCTCTGCCGACTGAAACTACGGACGTGCTCAAGTGAAAATCATTGGTAGTAGTAGATCGTTTTTTGAATCAAGTTTCCATTAGTGAATAGATTGAGTGTTTCAATCTAAAACTAGAGTGATCCCCCCCCCTCCCAATCGTCTAATCCCTATAGTTTAACTCTTTTGGAATAAGAGAGTGTTGTTGCACTCAAATTCGTTCTGAAGTGTTTTTCTCCCACATTTTTACATAGAGGTAGTTATGTCATACATGTATTGTAGATCCAATACTCCAATCCGCTTTCAGGAATATGTGGGTTTTTGTTGGATGGATTTTTACAAAATTATATTCCATGAATATCGTTTTGAAATAAGGTTCTGTGTGCCATTCATTTTTTTTTCCTGAAAGGAAGACAATACATGGGGACATTGAGAAAGACTGCCTCAAATGCTCTAGCGGGATGTTGAACATTCAATGCCAGTTCCTTTTCAGTAATATGATTTCCTTTGTGTTATGATTGGATTGATTCTGTTCTTCCTTCTTATCAAGAATAGCTTCTTTCCTTCATTTTAGTGTACTTCATTTTGGACAGCAACGATTGTCATTCCACTTCCGAGCTGACTGGGGACATGTGCATGTCGACGCAGTGCATCAAGTCGGGTATGTCTCAACCTCGTTCCTCAATTGATTCATAATGTATTCCATCCACTGTGCTGTTGAATGGATGGGACATATTTTGTTTACAAATTTAATGTTGTGGTCATGTGATGCCGACTTTCAGCGAACGGTTCTCCACTGCACTACATGTATTTCCTTTGAAAACATTCATGGTTTGAAAGTGTTGACGCAATATACTGTTTAATGTGGGCCAAAAAAACATGCAAAATATGCTTAAGTGTTTGGGTTGCCCGGCGGTTGCCTGATCGGCATGACGTCACGGATCACATGATCTATAGGTCCACTCTAAAAACAGATTGGTTGACATAACCAATCATTAGTTGAAACAGCCACATATTGGTTAATACGTGTTCAACCAATCGGATTGGTTGGACACACATTAACCAGCGTACTATTACAACAATTAAAGTACTAACAGTACTCTAAAATGAACGTTGCTAGATTCTCAGCTTTGTAAGTTGAAAATGAATTCACGGGAAGGAGTCTACTTTAAGAAATAGGTTTAGTATTTTGTGCATTATGGCCGAACCTGGCATTTATGTGGGCTCGTGGACAGAGCTGAAATAGTCAGGTGGCATATGGTCGGAATCGTGACCGACTGGTCCAAAGCACCAAACTTGGCAGATAGATTCTTATAGCCCTAGAGAAGATATTTAGAAGGGGTGACACCTGAAAATCTTTTGGGAAGGGTGCCTAATTTGCATAAATCGTTAATCCCTGCCGTGTAATATATTTATTCCCATATTTGGGTATATTTATATTTTTTTATTTTTTTGAAAAGTGTATTTTGGTGATTCTTCTTGCATAATTCTTACTTCAATAACATTTTGTAAAACACATAAGTGACTGAATAAATAGGAGGACATAGTAAAGAACCAAAATTGCTACTATTTTATCCTAAAGTTACGCGCATTTACCTTTTCCTCAGATATCATCAACTAGTCCAAACGTGGGTATTGTTGATGAGCTTCAAATTCACAAAGTTACTTACTGGCATAGTTACCCTAACAAAAATAAGTGGGAAATCAAGTGAAAATTGATATCATCTTGATGTTTAGCCCAAAAGACCAAAAAAGGGGAGAAAATGTGGTGTCCGTAAATTGGGCTAGTACGGGAAGGGTAACGTGGGGACTTGAACAAGTTCAACGAAATCCCCCTAAATAAGAGATTATTGTTGTTTACAATAATTTTGTCTACGCCAAAACGTTTTCTCAACAATAATTTTGGGAATTTCCTTGAACTTTTTCCAGTGTTCCATGTTAGGCAACCCTTCACCTACTTGTTAGCCTAATTTATGGACACCTCGTTTTTTCCCAGTTTTTGTTTTCTGGGCTAAATATCACAATGTTATCATTGTTCACATGATTTTGCATAAGGTTTTAATAGGGTAACTGTACCAGTAAGCTACTTGGTGAATTTAAAGTTCATCAATGCTTATGTTTGGCAAGACTAATTGATGATATCTGGTGACACGGTAAATGCGCGCAATTTTAGGGCATAATAATAGCCATTTTGGATCGTTACTATGTCCTCATAATTATTCAGTCACTTAAATACTTTGGAAAATGTTATTTAAGTAAAGATATGTAAGTAGAATCCCCAAAATACACTTTAAAAAAAAATTAAAAAAATAGAAATATACCCAAATATGGGAATAAATATATTACATGACAGGGATTAACGATTTATGCAAATTAGGCACCCTTCCCAAAAGAATTTCAGGTGTCACCCCTTCTAAATATTTTCTCTAGGTCTATAAGCATCTATCTGCCAAGTTTGGTGCTTTGGACCAGTCGGTCACGATCTTGACGAAAATTAGATCTAAGCCACCTGACTAAAGTGAGAGAGAGAGAATAAGGATAATTATTGAGGTTTAGAAATCAAACACAGAATCTGCAGTTGTGTATCTGAATTTAAGGTGCACACTGCAGTGGCGTGTCCAGCTTTTGATGTGGGGGGGGGGGAGGCAATCTCACTCGCACATCCGCGCAGAAATGTAGAAATGTGTTTTTTTCCGGACACTTGGCCTCCGTAAAATCAAAAAGCGGGGGGGGGGGGGGGGGGGGGGGGGGGGTTGGAGGCTGGTACCCATCTTCCAAATGGGGGCGCTCTTCAAAGCTGACCATTAGGCTATTATGCATACTGGAAAATATATGCCGAATTTCACGGCGCATTGTAATAGATTTGTAGCTTGGTTTTCTTCTGTTTTTCATGTCAGGACTCCATAACCATTTATGGAAGTTGTTACGGAAAAAAATATCTTTCGAAAAAATCCGCCGAGGGAGGGGCAAGGTGCCCCCTCTGGATACCCTCTGGATACGCCACTGGCACACTTCCTTTTTAAACTTGATATTTCTACGAGTCCGGTTATGGGATTACAGTGGAGTTTATAGTTGTCTTATTTTGGAATGTAATCGAGATCAAAGGCACAGCATAAATCGAGTCAAAAACAATTCAAATCACAAGTCCGGCCACAAGAAACACGGAATGCAAAGGTAGCGACTTAAGTAGTGACTTAAGATTGATTGACTTGAGAAATCTGAGGGCTTATGATGACTTGATTTTAACTCTGATATTTGGGGTTCAATATTTTTTTATAATTTGAATTTTTTTTTTGGCTCTTCAGCTTCGGTTTATCTGGAAAGTATGGACAGCTCCGCGAATCCCTGTGATAACTTTTACCAGTACGCCTGCGGCGGGTGGGTGAAGAAGCACGTGATCCCAGAGGATAGGTCACGTTACAGCTCATTCGACAAACTAGACGAGGATGTCACCATCAAATGCAAAGGTACAGGATGGCCAATCCCATAGTGACCGTTTTAGCCGGTTTTCGGCTAACTTTGACAGATTTTTTGTTAAACAGCGAGTTTGACAGAAAATTTGACAGAATGGATTTTTTTGACAGATTTCTGGCAGAATTCTCCAAAAATGGTTATTTCACAGAAAAACATAGCAAATTTGAAAAAAAAAGAGGTACATGTACATTTGTTTAAAAAACTGTAACCCTTGCATAGGCCTATGAGGTTAATGGGCTGGTCTAGGTGGCGGTTCACTGGGAACCAGACTTCGTGGTGATCGATGCGCGCCAGTTTTATAACATCTTATGTGACTATTGATAGTTTATAGTTGTCATTTAAACCTTAATTAAGGCAATAATACAAATCTGCATGTGATTTTAAGTGATTGTATTGTATTTCGAGTAATTCTGAGGAATTCGGCAGATTTTTGATAAATCTGACAGATTTTTGAAGTGCATTTAGCAGAATTTGGCCATAACCGTACGGTCACCCTGGCCACCCCATTCCGACCAAACCCAGCCATGCAGATTCCCATCCTCAGTCCATCTCAGTCTCTAGTCCAATCAAGCCAGTCCCAGCCTGGCCCATTGTCATTGTACGCAAAGTAAGCAAACCGAGGTCAATCCCGGTTTACCAGAGATAAGCCAACAACCCATTTCCACTGACCCCTGCTAGGCCAGTCCTATACAGAGTGAGTCAAAAATCCAAATGTCGGGCCCATTGTTTTAGTGAAGTTTCTGCATGTAGCAGTTTCATAATTTCGGATATGAAAACTCAAGTCATAAGCTTTCTCATGTAGTTTCCAAGTTACGGAATTTTAAACACAACCAGCGTTTTAAAGTTCTGTCCACGGATCACAAAAACGTAATTGTTCTTTCAGCAAAAGGAAAACAAATCACATAGGGATGTGGGCGACTGTTTTGCTGAAAGAACGCAAACCTTTCTTTGTGATCCGTGTTCAGAACTTTGAAAGCGGTGGTTGTGTTTAAAATTCTTGAAAAGTACATGAGTGATTCGAATGATTCTTGTACTAAAAGAAAGCTTATGAATTGAGCTTTCATATCCTAGATCTTAAAAATGCTACATGCAGAACTTCATTAAAAGAATATTCGCGACATTTGGGTTTGTTTTTTTACTGACCCTGTTGCTAGAGCTCAACCCACCAGAAGTGCAGGATCCGGCTCAACCAATGCCAGTCCACGAGAGCAAAGCCAAAAATCCGATTCAACTAGAACCCACCCCAAGCAATACTTGGTTTATCATTATGTACCAGACCTTGCTCATCAATCAGTCTCTTTCCAAAGATCTATAAGTCCAAGCTATCACCTCCCTCCAGATTTCCTGCTCAACGAATTCCAGTCAACTGGAGCGAATCCCGCCACCGATCCATGTCCATCCACCCAAGCTCAATCAAACGAATCTTAATCTCTGTGTTTCCACTCCAAATCGTTTCCAGTCTTCTGGAGCTCAGTGCAGCCAAATCCAGACCAACAGACTCTACCCCAACCCCAGTCCCAAGTGCGAGTCCCGTTCACCCAATCCCAATTCACTGTGCCAATCCCAACCCATCAATATCATCAAAACCCAATAATCACATCGGTCTAGAGCGTGCCATAGTCCAGCCCAACCAATACAAGGTATACTTTGTCGAATCCTCATGTCATTTTCCAATTTGCTGTTTTCTGTTGCATAAGACTTATTGGAGGAGGATGCAGTATTTGGAGAGCCAGTTGCCATCACCAATGTCAGAAGATACTACAAGTCCTGCCTAGATATGGGTAAGAGTGACAGACAGTCTCTAAGAAACACGGGGTCAGAAACAAACCAAGGAAGACAGCATGCCGTGAGAGAAACTGGCAATCCTGATTTCTGGAATTTTCATTTGATTCATGTATCGACGTAATACAAAAAGTGTGAAAAAAAAAACAAATTTGTTGGACACACACCAAAAAAAACCCACAGAATGAGGAGTAGAAATGTATGAAGTTGTAAGTTACAAGTCCATTACAAGTCAGGCGCAAGTAAGATATTAACAAGTAACTCGGGATTTGCAACAACAAAGCTTAGAATATCTTGGTCACAACTCGCGACTTAACTCTTAACTTTACACTGAAAGAATTAGTGATTCAATTAAGCTATTCATAAGATGGAATTTGCAGCGGGGTGATGTAAACCATTATTAGGTTTTGCCCTTCTCTGATGTTTTGAATTGTTATTGACATGAGACTGGTATGTGAGGACTGGAATTTCTGTACACTCCTGGTCAAAATTGACTTGGAATCAGAGTCCTTTTTGGCTGGATATTTGTCGAGGCAAAATGACACTTTTCAGGGTCAAAATTACACTTTTATTGCTCAAAATGACACTTTCCGTGGCAAACTGACACTTTCAGGGTCACAATGACACTTTTAGGGTCATTAATGACACTTTTCAGGGTCAGATGACACTTTTCACGGTCAAAATGACACTTATCTTTATCGTTTTCCGCATGACACCTCTCGTTATCATATTTGGCAAAAGCGTCAGTTTGACCCAGCAAGTGTCATTTTGACCCTGAAAAGCATGATCAGGCCAAGTGGAACCCCGTAGTCTAGCTCAAATCTGACCCGGGACGCTTTAGAGTGTAACCGCTAAATCTGGATTAACTTTCTTCCAGAAACCATCAATAGTATGGATGACCAGCCCCTGATAGATACGCTGGTCAAGGTCGGGGGATGGCCCATGCTCGGTACTAGCCCCGGTGGCAACTGGGTGGAGGACGACTACAAGTTTGAGAACCTCCTAGCTCTACTAGCCAAGGAGTACGGAATAGCCCCCGTGATCTCATACGGGGTCGGTGTGGACGACAAGAACTCAAACCTGCACGTCCTACTGGTAAGGTGATATATTTGTGACAAGTCGCAACTACAGTTCAAATTACTAATTCAGTAAAACGGTTTTCAGTGAATTGTTTGAAATGCACCTTTGTCTATTTATTGCCCTCATTTCAGTGTTTGTATTGCCATTATGGGGGTTTTCTGTGACTAGGTCATCTTAAGTATAGAAGCTTATAATGTTAAGGCAGTTACAGCACAAAAATTAGCAGAATTTCCGCTTCCATCGTTTCAAATGACAGCCAGTTAATAGATAAACTTTATTAGAACTGCTACAGTAAGCTACAGACAAAGTTCGTTGAGTTTGCTAAGTACATTTTTGTTTGAAACACATTTTAAACATACTCTAAGTAAAAAAATCAAAGGTTAATGTCACATTTGTATTTCTCAATCTGTTTAGTCTCTAAACTTATTTTTGTTTTAAAGAAAGTAATTTCGATCAAACATGTTATCTGTGAGATCGCCCTCTGACGCTGTTTCAACTTCGTTTTCACATAGATAAACCAGCCAAGCCTGCTGATGGGTGGTCGCGATTACTACCTGAAATCGAACTATTCCAAGGTAGGTCAATGGTCCTTCTTAACCTGATACAGAGGTTTAAGAACCTCTATGCCACAGTTTCAACACTAGCATGTTTATTTTATTGTGCTATCCGCAAGCCGGACTAACACTGTAAGTGTCATGACTAAGTGGTTAAGAGCACCGCACCGGACTCATGCTCTGGTGTTTCAGAGGCAGCAGAATGTGGGTTCGAGCCTGGGTCTGGATACTTAAGCGAGGCACTTAACCATTATTGCTTCGTCCTTCGGATGGGACGTTAAGCCGTAGGTCCCGTGTGTTGTGTATAAAGACCCCATAGACACCTGTCGCTAAGAGAAGTGGATTGTCCCGGTGTTTCTGGCCTCATGTTCAAACTCCCCTGCTGAGAATTTAGACCAACCAACCAAGTATCAAGTAAATTAATTTGTGCGGCATTGACTATCCAATTCTAGTTGATAAATCGTGTCCCAGATTTTTTTCTTGGTCATCTTTTACGGTAGGCAGCTGTGGTTAACTTAACTTCCAAAGTGGTTATAATGGAAATTCCATGGACTTATTATTTTCGTCAAAAGGTTTACTCAAAATAATTTATAAATGAGGTAATCTCATACCAATTATTGTCGGGTTGAATAATATTGGCCAATATTTTCCCCCATTTTTAAAACAAGGTTTGTTTTTGATAGTGAAGTTTCCTAGGCTTGTCTAAAACAAGTAATACATTTGTGTGCTAAAATAACTGGGTACGTTACTGCGTTCACATGTGACAAGGTTGTGACGAGTCACCTTTTCTTGCATTTGTCCTTATAGGAGCGAGACGCGTATAAGGACTATATGGTAAATGTGGCCGTTGCTCTGGGCGCTAATAAAGACAACGCTACAAACGACGCTGCAGATCTACTGGCATTCGAGACAATGATCGCACAGGTATGACAACATCAACATCAACAACAGCAACAACAAAAACGACGATAACAACATCAAGAACAACGACGACGACGAAGACAATTATAATGAGAACACAGACAAAGACGACAACCATAATAACAACAACTATTGCAACGACAATAACGACAAGAAGAAGAAGAAGAAGAACAACAACAATAACGTGAAGTTGCATTTTATTGCGCATTCAACAAACTTAAAATCCAATGCAGAATATCTGATGCTATTGATAAGTGCAGTTTTATTGGAGTTTCATTTACGAGAAAGGGTTCACTAAATAGTTTTCAAACGTAACGAACTGCATACAATGTTAAACGTAGCACCTCGTTGACAAAATTAACTTGCTATGATAGTTGTCTGACCTAATATCTGTTAAAACAATTTGTTTGCACACCGATTTGTAAGTTGAATTTCTGTTGTCAATACCCAATCAAGGTGGGCTGGCATCCTGAAAAACCCAAAGCATTTTGGCTAAGTTTGCCGATTTCGCTCAAAAAGCATTATGGTTTTTTTTTGTTTCAGTTGAGCGTTCCATCTTCGGAGAGACGAGACGCCAATAAACTCTACAATGTGTTTGAGCTGGGAGAGCTAGGAACAACTTACCCTGAGGTGACGAAAATTAATCAATATTGAGATTAAAATATCAAAATATTGACAAAAATAAAGTCAAACAAAACTACTCAAATTAAAGGCCACTTTGTTCATTAGCCCAGAATTTGATTTTGTTTTGTTGTTAATGTTGTGAATTTCGTTACTGTTCATGTACGTGCATTTGCTATTTTTGAAAGCTTCTTTTCTGAAGGTTTTGACCTTTTTTTCCTATCCCAGAGGTAAGTGGACCAAGCTAGCTTATTCTTATCATTGTAGGTTGATTAAAATTGAAATTACAGCCAATTATACACTACAAAGTTAAAAAAAAAAACCAGCACCAAAGAAAATTTTTAACAACTATCAAGAATTACTAAAAGCAATCTCTAAACATAAATAATGAAATAAACAAAAAATAAGACAAAGCAGTTACCAGCACTGTTCAACAATATTACAACTTTATACATGTAAAACACAACGAATACAAAATAGGAATCCTTACTAAATCATGCCTTGAAAATGAGAATTCTAAAATATCGTATTGCGCTTCGGTACCTACTAATATTATACCCTTTTCGCTGAAGTAGTTAACATAACACATCTATTTAGACACAAATAAATAGAGCTGGGCTCTATTTTATGGCTCACTCTGCTTACCAAATAATTTCGTGCTTACGATCAACAGTTTGTGTTAACCGCGCTAGCAGAAAAAAAAATATGTGCTTACCCTGTAAGCACATAATCCTTAGTGACGGGATGTGCGCATGCGCAGAAGCCAAAATTCCTTGCTAACCTTTGAAATACGCTTACCATATAAGCACACAATTTTGTGCTACAGTAAGCAGGGATTTTTCGCTAATTGTAAGCAGAGCCTTGAAATTTGGCTAAGGTCACGTTTACCATTCTCTAGCACTTTACTTCTGTATTCTTTATCTCGATTGTATTCTACAGTGAATAATGCGTTCACTGGTTTGGAGGTGATTTAACCGTTTGAAATGTTACCGATTGATTCATCATTCCTAGGTGAATTGGACGGTACTCTTCAACCAGCTCCTACCAGATACGCTGACGCCGTTACCAGACACCGAACGCGTTATCAACTATTCACCTCCTTACATAGGCAACTTGACTACTTGGTTGTCAAGTCAGAGCAACAGGTGAGATTCTTTGCTTGTTGTATATACATGACCATATAGACGAATATAGCACGCCATGAGTTTTCTTAGGGGATCAATGTGGGGACGATTGGACTTCGTCTAACTTAAGCTAACATAGAAAAACACACGTGTAAAATTACCAAGTTCGATCGGAAATATCTCGGAAGCTAGGGGGCCATCGAATTCGTGTTCATGCATGAGTCACGTGATTGTGCCATGTAATTTCTGGAAGGAGTAGTGCTTTGAGCAAAAAGATCAGGTTTTTACCCCAGTGACCCCATGATGACCTTTGACCCCAGTTTGATCATGTGATAGTTGGGGCTGGGCTACTGATACTTTTGACAAAGTTTGGTTGAAATCGGTCAAAATATTTAGGAGTATTAGACAATGTCAACGTTTGTTACTAACTAGCTAACTAACGTACTAACGAAGAGACATGATGATTTGTTGAGCTGCAATCCCGCAGCTAAAAACATGAAGTTATTCTGTCGACGGCAACTTTGTATGTCGAAGTTGCTCTGGCTATCGTTGTTTGTTCGTTGCCATCGTCAAATGTGATTCAATTTTCATAATGTTTGATAATAATTGTCATTCATCTTGTTGTTACTATAAAATGGGCCTGCAGTGTGGTGGTCACACTGTTGCCCAGTGGCCACTAACGCTTACGTTGTTGTAACAGAACCCTAGCAAACATCATGGTGATGCTGTCACGGCGTTGTGGTCATACTTTCGAGAAAAAATGTTGTTGCAACAGGTTTGTTGAAAGCTTCATGGTATTGCTGTTATAGCGTGGCGGTCACGTTTTGGCAAAAGGGTCCCACCATTCTAAAATGTTTGTTGCAACATGTTAGTTGCAAACATCATGGTGTGGCTACCATGGTCTGGCGGACATACTCTGGCAAAGTGGTCCCTGCACCTTTTCAACATGTTGTCGTCGTTGTTGCAACAGGTTTACTTAAAACTTCACGGTGTAGCTGTCATTGCCTGGCGCTCAAACTGTGGCAAATTGTCCCCATCTTTTTACATTTTTACGATTGTAACAGAGCCGTTGCAAATTACATGGTGTGGCGGCTGGTAAGCTACAAGTTCGGGTACCTAGGCGACAAGTTTCTGGACATCGAACAGGAATTCGGTAATGTTCTGTCGGGCACGTCGGCCCGTTCGGCCCGCTGGAGACGTTGCATTGGGGAAGTCCAGTCCAGCATCATGGAGTTCGCTATGGGCAGGATGTATGTAGACCTACACTTCCCGGAAGAAGCAAGGCTACAGGTCAGTGCTGGACCCTCTTTTTGGTTAAAATTTGTTGTTCAAAATTCGAATCGTTGTTGCTGATTGTGGATCATTTCGCTTGAAACATGTATGTGATGCGATCAAGCTATATGGGTTGTTTGTCGACCCTGGTCATTTTTTTACAGATTTTAAAAGAGCACAACCTCAGCATTACTGCTTTGAAAACCGCATGCTGGTACCATCTTTAGTTAAAACAATTATGGAAGTCGGAACACCAAGATATGTCATGAAGTGATGCGATGATGTGGCCCTATTTTGGCCTGAATCTCCAAATGAAAGTTCCCGACAAACGAGTCATTTTGCTTGATCGCACCACTTAAGTATATTGAGTGTATAACGTTTCTGGATACTTACTCACCACTTCCTCTTTTTATTTCGGAGAATTATTTTTAATTAACATTTGCCAATTATTTTTAATTCACATCTCATCATTGTTTATTAAAATAGGACCAATGTCACGGCGCTGCTAAGCCAAAAGAATTGCATAGCACAACAAAATCCATGTGATTATACATCACATGGAGTTTTGGCTGGTAACCTGCTTTTATACGCCGGTTTTTTTTGTGCTAAACACTTTTTTTTGCTTAGCAGCGCCTTGAAATTGGCCCCAGTAAACACAAAAATGGGGTCTGACAGAATTGGAAAATGATCACTGAAACTGAGGAGGCATCATTTCAGTTTCATACTGTTATAGCTGTTTCTCAGATTATCTAAAGATCATCAATCCAACATTCGATCCCAGAAAGATATGGATCTCAAGAAACATTAAATTGTTGTCTGAGTATTGTAGCAAAATGCTACAATGAAATTATGATAATAATGTTGAACGACTGTTGCATGTTGCAGACGATCGAGATGGTGGGCAATCTGAAGACAGCCTTCAAGGCCATGCTGACGCCCAATACTTGGCTGGCAGATGAGGATAAGGTTGTCGCTGCACAAAAGGTTTGAGATCTAACCTTTTGAAGTGTGTGAAACACCCTGTAAATTGTGTATCAACACATACTTTGTATCAACAAGTCCTATATACCCCCTTGTCTTTCTAATTTCCGAAGCCGTTGATTTCTCGTTGCGTTTCTGATGCGTGTTTTGCCCCCTGCACCCCATCTTCACCCCACCCGACCCCACCCAGCCTGCCGCATATGTGACTATTAAAATACTAAACTCCCATCCCTGAAAAAAAAAGCAGATTTCTTGCTTCGCTCATGGCGAGTACAGTAAAATAATCTTGGGGTAAGCTGAACTCCGCAACGTTCACCTTGGGGTAAGCTGAAGTCCGCAACGTTTAGCGCTTTTTGGAAAACAGTAATTATCAACTTTAAAATTATCAGCGTTGTTCCGTATTTGCTGCTGATTTTTTTCCAGGCTGATGCGATGGAAGTCAACGTTGGATACCCAGAATGGATCAAGGACGATGCAAAACTTGATGAGTACTATATGAAGGTGAACAGTGTACTTTGTGTGCATTCGAATGTTCTTAGAGTTCAGTGCAAGTCGGTACATTTCTGGGTTTTTGCCAGCTTGCAGTTTAGGAAGATATGAAGCTTTTCTGCATGGTGATATGGTTTCTTGGATAAGGACAGATTTAAGGTAGTATGCCATCAGCCTGGGGTTTTGGTCGGTATCAAATGAGGGGAATAATGGTCATTGTGATTTTTGGCAAGGTATGCACCCCTGTAGTTGGAAAATATGTGATAGCATTGCAGCGGTGGCAACTTTTTGGGTGTCATCACTATTTTTTAATGGCAGCCAAAACAAGCTTGTTACCACATATAACTAATCCGGTTTAAGCATATTGGCGGCCATTTAAAAAAAGATTGCTACACCTAGCTGCTCACACTACAAAGCTATCACTATGAACATTGCTCATTTCGATCATTTGATACTGGTGGCCCAATAAATGGACCGAAGCCGATAGCCTGTAGCGGTACAGAAATGATTTACCAACCCGCCCTGCCCCTTCCGTCTAACCAGTGGTTACCAAGTTTTAACACCCTCCTGTGACGTCACACTATTGGGTTTTTTTTCTCGCCACTATTTTGCACGAATGGAGCACGGCGCGTTATTCAGCTTCTGACGAATGGCGCACTGCGCACATATTTTTTTCCATGTATATAGGTTGGTGAAGCCACTGATGTATAATTCAGTAATCGCCGCAAGACACTTAGGTTTTATAAGATGGAATTTTTTTTTGCGTCGGGGTGATAAATCAAATTATAGGTTTTGCCCTTCACCGACGTTTAAACATTGTATAATCACTCGGTGGGACTCGAACCTACGGCCTCCTGCTTTCTAGTGCAGATGTCTTACCACCCGACCACACTTTCTCCCTTTTCCCCTTCAATAAAAGAATGCCGTTGAAATAATGTTTGCCCTCGGGCCATTCTCACCAACGAACTTCGCGCTCCTCGTGCATTATCCTTAACATAAAATACCAAATTTCTTTTCTGAAATGATGTCATAGGCCTACATTATTTGAAGGGTTTGTTTATTGCTCATAAAGTCTTTCGTATGAGTTGACTGAACTACTTAGCAGGCCCTTCTCCCCTTTGGAAAATTGGTGACTTTATAAACACTGCAGCTATACCCCTTTTGAAAAACTAATCTGGATACATCACTGAAGAAAGATTGGTTGAAAGAATTGAAGAATTACGCTAAAACTGCGACAAAACCGATGTTTTCTTTGAAGACGTGGGTTCTCAAAGTACGTGGACCTCAACAGAGAGGAGGTCGATACTTGCATAGTATTATTGTCTGCAAATATCACTCTTGAAGCTGGGTGCGCTGGAAAGCTCCGAGATTTTCGACACAACTATTCGCGTTAGGGATACATTGTGTTTTGGGGATACATTTCATTTCCAAAATCACTCATGAGGCTGCCAAATTTTGATTTCGCATCCTAGTTAATAATGACGCATTTATTGTGTGACTATTGAACATTATTACTCTTTCCATCATGCCTAGTTGGACAACTTCACCACCACTGCGTACTACGAGAACACTCAGCAGTACATACAATGGCAATTGGAGAAAGCGCTTGGCTCCCTACGCGATGCAGTGGATAAGAAAACGTACGTTTTTGCCATCTTAGAAAATTATATACAGTGGAACATCGCTATGCCGAACACGGCTATACCGAACATTCGGCTATACCGAGCATCGCCCTTGGCTATTGATTTTCGTGTACAAAATGTACCGAAATAATTGCTGTTAAAATGTGTCAACAGAAGTATATATGCGTATATATTTTTGGGACAATTTTGCATTTGTAATGATAAACTACTACAACATTGTCCATGCAGGCAACGATGCTACAACATTGTCCATGCAGGCAACGATGCATGCAATACAAGCTTTAAACATTTGAAGGTTGTATTTAACTACTGGGTTAGCTGTTTCGTTTATAACAAAATGCCACGTGATGTTCCTTCGAGAAATTGGAATGATATTACTTATATAATATTTTTTTACTATATGCAGATGGGGAATGGGGCCAGCGGTGGTCAATGCGTACTACAGTCCCAACGAAAACAAAATAGGTGAGTAGTTGTGTAAACCTTGTTTTGCATAAACTTTGCATCCTAGTTTGAATTGGAAGATTTTTGTATTGATTCCTGGGTCCTAGACTCTGAAATTCAGTTGCTTGTCTCTACCCAGTATTGAATCGTTGTATTTTACAAAACGGAAAGTTGTTGTTTATGTTTGTTTTGCCTTTTGTATTCCAAGGCGGCATTTCCTTAAAGGACAAAAAAGGACTTTTTCTCAGCTTTTTTATGGAGTAACTAAAACTGTGCAGATATAAATACGGATGGGCTAAGTATCCGATTAAATTTGATTATTTTTGCTTTTTTTTTTTGCAGTTTTTCCCGCGGGGATCTTACAGCCACCTTTCTACCACAAAGATCTGCCTTGGTATGAATATCAAGTATTATAGTAATTATATCTTCTGCGTACACAAGAGCGGCGACACATGGGGGCATTTTCCCCCAGATTCGCCCCCAGTCCCCCCCCCCCCCCAGTTTCCCCCAACACTTTATCTACAAGTACATGTAGATTAATTATGTTTATTTTCCTCGCTGTTAAGATTCATAACAAGTTGACGATAGAGAATGAGTCATTACTTCTGTGGACAAATTTTGGGCCAATGAAAGCATTATAAACATTGGTACTTTGGTAGGCAAAACACGCCACACGTGCATGTAAATAGCCGTGGATAGTGTGTAGCCAACGTCTTTGTACATTTTGTTATACTTTTTTATACACCATTCTGCGGCTGATATATTTCTCATTCATAAAAAACGAATACACTTCTAAGTTACTCTTGTTGCTCATTTCTGGACGACTGTCCCCCCCCCCCAAAAAAAATTCATTGCCCCAATTTGCCCCCCCAAAAAAAAAAATGGCGCCGCCACTGGCATACACACAAATAGCCTGCAAAATCGATTGCAAAATTCAGCTCTTCACTTCACACATTGAACGAGAATAGTCTTATTGTAGCATTTCCAATACGTACAGTCAGACAGCGTGTGGTTGAACATCATTTGCTCAGATATTTCAATCTAGTAGAAACTAGATAAGAGTGACTAGTTTTGCTCCGTATGCCTGTCTTATCTTTTTTAAATATCATGAAATGAAGAAGAACAGGAGACTTAATGAATCAGTTACGGGTATGTCTAATTTGAATGTCAATGATGGGTTTTTTTTATGCAGGTATTCCAATTACGGTGGTATGGGTGTGGTAATTGGGCACGAGATTACGCATGGTTTTGACGACGAAGGTATGTCTGTGCATTTTCAGATTATTCTTGTTTGCAAGAGGTCCTATAGGTTGCAGACCAGTAAATCGGTCCGAAATTGCCTACGCCGGCCAAATCACAGTTTGCATGCCCTCAAAATCTTCAGTATTTGAGCATGCTGTGGGCCATGAACTTGAGGGTTTTAAAACATATGGGTGGAGGCCATGCACAGGACTGTGAGCTTGTAGTTCCGTCCAATTCGGATGAAATTGGGGCCTTAAAGCGCTCTATTTTGCAATGGAGTGTAGGCATCTTTTTTTTCAAAATGGCGATGGGCTTCAGGACTATTTTCAGGGGTGATCATCTTCGGATGGAAATTTCCCCTTTAAATGTCATCAGTTGACCCCCCGAAATTGAAAAGAAAGTGAAAGATGATGAAATAAGCTTTAATTTGATGTTGTCTCGAATACCTTGGAGACTTGTGAGTATTTTTCCCGAATTTCTGAAGTGGGAGCATTTACCATTGGGGTTTATGGAAGTTCATTTACTGGCCTGTAACCTTAAGACACTCCTTATTATGCTCGAATATGCCCTTATTTCATTAAAGCTATAGTCCATCATTTGTAATTTGTGCATTTTGTTCGTTTGAAGCAACAAAAGAGTTCAAAATCTAATGAAGGATACTGAGCAACTAACCTGATGAAGTTTCAGCTAAGCTTTAGCTGTACATTCCGAGAAAAACAGCATTCTAAGATCTCAATTTCAAATCAAAAGTTACTGAATCATGTTTTGAATTGTTTTGAATTGCAGCTTTACGCGACGTCGCGCACTGATCCGACGAATTACAACAGCCGCGCCGTTCCAATAGTTGTGCGCGCTGCGCTGAATAACAAAACGAACTACTAATTTAAATTTTCCTACGGTGCTTCTTAAGAATCACCGTTGGAAATGCCTTCTTTCGTTAATTACTTCAAAATGACAGCTTCCCAGAAAGAATAATTTCACAGGGAGTTTAGTTCCCTTACTATCTTTCAACCAAGTTTGTTTTTCAACAATAATTACGCCAGTTACTTTTCGGATGGCTGCAAATGATGGACTCTAGCTTTAAACTGTGAATATTGAGTTAACCGTTTGATAACGCTCTTAGAAATGGGAGGATAGAAAAATAATAGAATAAATGTTTGTTTCAAGCATTTAATTCCCATTTTTGCACATGAAATAATTATTTCATTTCATTTCATTTATTAATTTCTCGGGTGAATACAAAACAGCGCAATTTAAAAAGAACAGAAGAAATTTTAAAAATATCTACGTTAAAAATTTTCCAAAAAAAAATAATTTTAACTACTATTAATTAACGCGTAGTTATACGCACATGCACGCGTGTCGAACTTTTATATATTGTTTTATTTGTTGGACAAAAGGGAGGCAGTATGACAAGGATGGCAACCTGGATGATTGGTGGAGCCAAAAGTCCGTCGATAACTTTAAGGAGAGAGCACAGTGCATTGTGAAACAGTACTCGGATTTTATCATGCCAGAGAACAACCAACACGTGAGTACATCATTGATGGATAATGGCCCGGTCTTTTGCTATCGATGCGCATGATGAAACTGATTTTGCAATTGTAGTTTGGTCTTTTATCTAAAAGAATGCGAAATTGTTTTAAGTGGAAGGCATTGTTGACGGACAATTTTTGTTTTATTTGCATGTATATATACACCACCCTCACAAATAACAAAAAGACTAAAACATTTTCTACAAAAGTAGCAATTGTTTTCTGTGAATTTAATAGACAAGTGACTTTATGTCAAACCTGCATCTCCACAAGTTTTGTGTTGATGTAAGTGTATTTTCAATGCCTCGTTGTAAATCACAAAAGTAGAAAGTAAATAGAACAGACTAAAAGTCAAAGGCGCCCTGAACAAACGAGCTAATGGATTTCGAAAAGTAATGGTCAAAATGACTTGGAAAATCTGCCCATAATAATTTATTCGTAAAGTCTGGACCCGAATAAAAAATCCTACTTGACACTTGACGTCACAATTTCTATAACTGTATAAGTTTCCAATATGTGAAATGACCTCTTTGCTCTTTTGCTTGTAGCTGAACGGGGAACAGACCCAAGGGGAAAACATCGCGGACAACGGCGGGCTGAAGGAGTCACTGAAGGTAAGAGGTGTCAACTACAAGAGCGGGGCATTATTCTTTGGTGTCCCAAAGTAAAATGCCCGTCTCTTTTGGGACCTGAATTTGCGATCTGAACTACGACTTTGTAAACTGTGTGGGTTTTTTTTAAAGATGACGGAATTTCTGTTCGGCACAACCGTGAGATTTTTGTCATTGACTTCCAAAAAAAGTTGTGTTCAGTTTATTATGTTCTAATCAAATTCGACGAAATCGGCACAGGAAATTGACCAACTAAATAACATTGTATATTACCCTTTCCATCGTCCGATTCCAGGCTTACCATGACAACGCGAAGAGCCAGCCAAAGCTACCGGGAATAGACCTGAACGAAGAACAAATGTTCTTCTTGTCGTATGGACAGGTATGCCTATAGACCATTATCATGTTGCGGCCGTCTTGATTTTCTCCCATTTAAATCAACGCCACCAAAACGAGGCTGGAAGGAAAAATAGTCTGGTTCCTTTTTGCACAAAAAACATCATTCAGTTCGGTTATTAGATACAGGGACATGACTGAAATGGTGGCAGCATGATAAAGGTCTATACCAATTGAGCGAACGCACTGACGGGAATAAAACGAAATTCAACTAGAGATTCGCGTTTGTTGTTACAAACGCAGAGTGGGCGGGTAGACAACTATTTAATGAAACACTGTCCAGTTAAGTTATGAATATTTTTATGTAAGAACAAAGTATCAGGAAATTTAATCCTTTCCAGGACAATCAATTAAATTGCAGTAAACATGTACACATACAAGTTATTTCTGGCTTGATAACGTCATTAGTCAAAAACGGGAAGTGAATACTGATTTAGTGGGAGTGGATGTTCATTGTGAAGTTAAATAAAGTATGAAAATTTGGAAACTATAAGTGTATGTATTCATAACACCGAACTTCCGGTTTGATGACGTCACAGTGTTTAGAAGCAAAAGGTGAACATTGTAATGGCATCGTTATTTGGGCTAAGATATACGACATGGATCAAAGGATAGAATTAAATTTAAAATATGATCGTTGGCGAATTCTCATAAAAGTAACTTCCAGTCTGATGACGTCATGAGTTTGAAACCTTGCCAAGTTATCTGTGGTTAATCAAAGAATATCAAGGGTCGATTTGGTAAAATTTGAACCCATGGTTTTAAAAGTAAAGAAAAGAAACAATATTTTATGTGCCGCTAGGGGCGCCCTTTCGGATGATGACTTTATCACACTGTTTTTTTTTGTGTCTGGCATTCCTCACTAAACACTTTCATAATATATGAGTCTGTAGTAAAATGCTTCCGCTTTTGAGTTATATTCAGTTTTTATTGCACTTTCGGTAACACCGGAAGTAAAGGTCAAGCGGTTTCGTGTCTGGGAACACAAAATGTTTCTCACGGCATAGTCTACAACCTCACGAAAAAACGAACATGATACTCTATTTAGTTCAAAAGATATAACGCAAACTATTTTGTCAAAATTTGCCCTTAAATCGCTTGTAATTTGATACCTGAGGACGTCATGATGACGTAACAAAATTAATAACATCTTAGTAACATGGTAATGTCAAGAAATCTCTCCAGGCAGCCATTTACACTGCCGTCAGTACCGCCAGACCAAATTGGCAAACTGTTCGGTGCCGACACAGAGTAATCGATGATGCTTTTTGAAAGGAAAAATCAGTCCGGTAGTTTGTCAAATCCTGCTGACACACAGAAGGAAGCTAATCTTCCCGCTGATCCCCTGTGGGTGATTTTTGGTCCGAAACTGAAGCGCTTGGTTTTTTTTTCTTTGCCGTTTGTTGGTTCTTATCTAAGTTGTCATTGCACCTACATTCATCTCCTCAGATTAATTCAGTGAACCTGGTTTTAAAAATTGGGTCAAACTGCAAATAGCCACGGCGATGTCCCATACCAACCATTATTTCTTCAGTACCTAATTTAAGTAATTTCACGTGCAGTGCCTTTGATGTCTTGGGTCCAATCTGGACAAAATCTATATCATGAGAAACTGCCTTTTTGTTCAAGAAAGATCTGGATTTGCGGAAAGTTTTGCTTAAGTGTTGGGAAGAACTTGTTTCAGAAGTTATGCTATAAAACTCTTGTGACACCAGGGTTGATTGCAAGGAAAAATTTTAAATAGGTCACTCTCTGCAATTGAACTTCTGGCCCCATATGTTCCGGCGTTTTATGGAATTCCTCATAATAGCTTCTATTTTCAGGGGCCTCTGGACACCATTAAAACAATTTCAGTACTGATCCCTAGATTTTGCAACATGATGTACAAGTTCAATATAAGGCAATTATTATTCATTGCCGCTATAAAAAGTGCAGCACCAGCCCAGGAATGAGGCGATCGGGGGCTAAATTTGCAAAAACAATAATGAATGGGTTTGCTGCAGTAATTGGGAGATTTGTTGTGTTCTTTGAGACACTGGAATTTAATGTTCCAGGCTAATTTGTGCGAGGGTCGGTTATTGCTCCAAGGTAATTGAAATTTACTGGTGGCATCATTTGGCATTGTCACGCATGTGGTAATGGGGCGTCATACATGTAGTGGTGACAATGTCCAATTACATGTATTGCTTTTATGTGACATCTGTGAAGGCTCTCAGGCATGACTTCACGCTGTTGTGTGCCTTTACTTTGTAGAGAGCATTGTGATCACTTAATTGGCAGGCAGTGGGAAGTGAAATGTTTTAAACAAAGACGAAGGAGCTTCCTTAGTTTTCAGGTTTTTTTCTCCAATACAATAGTTCATGTTAAGAGCCCGTAGACATAAATTCTGTTTTGAGATCATGACGACTCCACAGGGGAAAAAAATGAATTCTGGTCACGAGCATCCCTAGGGGGGGGGGGGGCATGGAGGATATGACCCCCTCCCCCTCCCCCTTAATCGTTTTTGTCGGCAAAATCGTTGTCTTGTCGGCAACATCAGCCCCGTCGGCAAATTTGCCGGATTGAAGAGCACCACATTTTGTCCGATACTGTCCATGATAGTCCGATTTGAACGGCAGCCCCATAGGAAGACTGAAAGCCCAATCCACATGTGGACCTGGCCAGGAATTGAACTCGGGCCATGGAGGTGAAAGGCCAGGAAGAACTTCTGCGCCAACCCGATTAAAACAGACATATTGTGATCTGCAGTCTGTCAGGGAATAAAATTACAGTCAGGCTGCGACTGACATCGGCACTTTTCCCGTCAATTTATGTATCTGATCTTCCAATCTCCAAGGAGATGGCACCATAACAGAAGAAAACGGGGATAAGTTACACGAACTTGCACGGCCTGCACGGTTACCAACAGACACGCGTCGCAAGGATGCCGCTTTTAATAATACAAAGTTCAAACAAGGTTTTGTGATCATACCGTGAACCGTTTGGAAGAAATTTTGTTTTGTTTTGATGTCAGGCTAACGTCTTCATTTTGAATTCACCTAACTTTGACCTTCCGGTAGACCCGGAAGTAAAGGTCAAGCGAGTTCACGTACACAACAAAAAATGTTTAGCGATTAATGGTCTATCTGATTACAGAATACAAACATCATTGAATATTTAGTTCAAGAGTTATAGGCCAAAGTAATTGGTCACTTTTTCAGATAAAATCACTTGTAATTTGACACCTGATGACGTAATCATGTCGTCAGAGTAATATGCACCACTTCGGATGAGGGTCGATATATATTGAAAGTTACAAGTTCATACCATATACCGTTTAACAGAAAACCCGCGGAGAAGTATTGTCCGGAAAAAAAAAAAAAAAAAGATTAATCGCAACAAATCCAAAGAGTGGTCGGGTTGTGCCCGACCACTCAACTGAGAAGGCAACTGCCTGCTACAACAGTTTCTGTTTGGAAACTCGCAAGAATGAAAACGATTAGCTCGCAACGCATTACTTTACACACGTTTAAAATCCTGGGGCTGGGAGCTTAGTGACAAGATGTTGAATGTAAAACTGAGACTTTAAAAGACGTCCAAGACAACCTGGCAAATTAAAAATATCTGATTTCAATGGTAATTCGGTAAGTACGGTGAGGTACATAATTATGACTAACACTAATAGTTAGTTTCTACCATTGAAGGTTTTCATTGCGACCATTGCAGAGTAGAGTGAAAAGGTTGGTGGAAAGAATGTACTATCCTGACGCCACTTCTTTGGTTGTGTACAAAGTCTATAGAGAGTTGAGTGCATTTTCTAACAAAATTAGAAGTGTTTCTCAGTCTCAGATTCGTGTCTTTTCAACATTTTTGCAATGACTGACCTTCATTGAGATAATATATGACAAAAAAAGTGGTATCAGAATGCAACATCCTATCCATGTTGGTAATAGATAAATGAATAAATTTTGATGAAAAATAAAGATTTCATGACTTAATCGATTGATTGTTTTTCTTACCCCCAGGTTTGGTGCACTCTGTACCGCCCAGAGGGCGTGGCCAATCTGATCCTGACCAACCCGCACAGCCCTGGCCGATACAGGTATTCCCAACCTTACAACTAAATCCACGAATTGTGACCGAATTCAACGAAATTATTCTTTTAACCCCCCCCCCCCCCCCCACTTCACTTATTCATTTCCCATGTGCATTTGTAAGAGCATTCCCAGCTTTATCTGTTGATGTACATATATCGTACAGTAAGTTTTGGAAATTCAGATGCATGGACGCACTGCGTCTAAAGATAAAGCTGATTATTCATGTTGATTACCATTGTGAAAGATTTGTGAAAAGGGGCCTGTCACTCCAATAGTAGCCCGGCGATTTCTTACTCATTTCGTTTGGACACAAGTTTGATTTGAATGTCGAAAGAACTATCTATGAGCATAATAATAACAACAGATTCAGCTGCAATATCAGGGCCTAGATTTACGGCACTGCTAAAGTCAACTAAAGAACCTGGATTAGTACTGCAATGCCCTTGTAAACGAGGAGTTGGCGTAGCCCTTTGTGCATGGGAATACATGTGAGCAGTCTGTGCTTTTACGACTAGCGCGAATTCATAATGCTCTAAATTCATAATGCTCTAAAGCATAGAACGATTGTCGCATGCGTATAATTTATTCTGTAGCTTAGCAGCGACATTGATTTTGGCCGCGAAATCTTTCTGCTTAAGCCTGCCTAATTGAAACATATTCAGTCCAACTTCTAAACGCGATATTAAGATGTTTGGATTTTTTTGCTAGATATTTTAAGAATACAAGATTAATTGGAATTTACTTTGCTATGATTGAAGGGTAATACTCGTGGTTTGTATTCCATGGGTCTCGAGAGCGAGCTCCATCCATGACAAATTTACTTCATTCATTGGAAATATATCTCCTGTGGCTTGCCTATTTGTTATTTAACCCTAATTGATGATTGTTGACCCAGGAAAACGATTATTTGATTGGTTTTTTTTAATTGTTTTTTTTAAACAGAGTCATCGGCCCAACGCAGAACAGCAAAGCCTTTTCAGATGCGTTCGGATGCAAGGAGGGGGATTACATGAATCCTAAGGATAAGTGCGACGTCTGGTAAAGCAAATTTGCACCTGTTGTACTTATTGTTGAAGACAAAAGCTTTTGCGCCTTTCCGAAATACACTTAATTGATTATTGTTTATTTGTCGTTTTTTTCCTATATCGTCTAATCGGTCCGTATTTTTATTGATAAACTTTTTTTCGGAAATCAGTTCCGATTTTTTTTTTTAATTTCATCTCCCATCACGATTGTATGCAAAATGGGCTTTCAGTAATTTTTCATTCCAAATTGCGATGGGATGTCGGTGTGATAATGTACCAGCTGGAAATGTGGAGCTTTCTCCTCGATATATGTTTTGAAGCCGTTTAGATTGTGCAAATAATTAGTTGCTGATTTTTTTTTAATTCGAAAGGCACCTTTACATATTGAAATTATGGAGAGAATACTATAAAGTATACCAATATTTCTAAAGAATGGAGTGCATTGTACTTCATAATTGCAATTAAGAAGTACAATGTATATTACCCCATTCAAGAAGCATATTCAAGGCTATTTCACATATTTGGGTCTTTTTAAGTAAGGTTTTTTTTTGGTTTTGTTTAATTTTTTTGATTTCATTTTATTTCCGATATAAGTATTATACAGTGTACAAATGAATATTGATAAGCTTTCAAAAATGCATCTATAAAATTGGTTAAGATTTTCGGAAAAGTTCCTTAAGTGCAGCATAAACACCACGAAACACATATCCTTTTTTGAGGCTGTTTTATTTTCGTTCTACATTCAGAAAGATATGTAATTTGTGTGAATGGACGCATCAGTTTTGTTCATAGAATGTGAACGACTTCTTCTCTTGAAATATCTTTGTATTTCTCAGTATTTTTTCAGTATATTCGTTCTTTGTATTTTTTGTTTGTATAATATGACCTTTTTTATAATTTGAGTACCAACTGATTAGGCCAGAAGTAAGCCAACTAAGTCGGGTGAAATAATACATTCTGCGACCAAAGTACCGACCTTAAACTTCTTATTGCCACATTCGGCCACAAATTTAATATGTGGAGATGTGATGAAGTGATGCGATGAAGTGGTCCTATTTTGGCCTGTATCTCCAAATTCCTGACAAACGACTCATTTAGCTTGATCGCATCACATATTTGGAAAATATATTGCTCTTCGTATTCAAGTAGTTTTAAATTGGTTTATGTACGTAAATATATGTTAATTAAGCAGAATATTGTTAAAGCTACCCAAAACAAACAAACTAATTATAAAAGACCGACGGACCAAAAAATAGTTTCCAAATAAGAGTTATTTTCCTACCTACCTGGATAATTTTCAGGGCGTCACCGTAAAGTGTGCCACCAAGAGTTTGCCATGAGGAGTCTGTTTTTCAAGTTTACGTTCGACAAAACACGGCCCATTTGAATGAGTGTCGGTGAACAACTTGAGCTAATTGATATAGAATGGGGCATATCGTTCTGCCGCCTTACAGAACACCATGATGTATAGTGCCGCGCTGCAAATATGTCTCTCAAATGCTCTTGGGAAAAAAATGGACTCTCTGTGGCAAACTCTTTGTGGCGCACTGCATTGTAAACGCAGTAATAAGATAACTACATTAAAAGATTTATACGCACAGATTTTAAAATTTGGTAACGTCTAAGTAAACTACTGTAATTCGTACTGGCTTTTATATACAGCGTTTTAGCTACAGCATTAATTGATTTAAGGATTGTCAGATTTTGTTTTGATTCCAGAAATAAATATTTTGTTTCCGGTTATCAATCAATCATAAAAAAAAAATTGTTTGTTATTTTTGTGTTTGTAGTAAACACGTGATTCGCCCATAGAGCTTTATGTTATCAAAACATTATCTCCATTGGTATTAGCTTGGGTTGATGATATTTGTACATTTCAATATCAGACTTAATATAATGGAAATCAGTGCAAGTTAAAAAAAATAATACATAAACACCCAAGTAAATCCGTGTCATTTGATTGGAACATTGCAGGTCACGTGGCATTCATTAATCGAACCATTGCACGGCCTAGGTCCTAGCTCTATGATTTTTTAAAAATATATTTAGATTTAAGAGATAAATTCGCTTTGAGAGGCGGATAGGAAATATGTCCAATATACACCTCGTGACGATTTCAGAGAAAATAGTTTACTTTTTCAGTGCACTTCTACGTCGAACGCTAACACTTTTATTAATTTACATTAATGGGAATAACATTTAACCGTATGTATACGTTAGGCCTACTGGAGTCAATTTTTTTTCTATCAAAGTTCGTGTGTTCTTCGGCGGAGCAATAATGCAGTCTACATTTTATAACTAAGCCACATTCACAGTTTTCGCCAACCAGAAGTTCGCAAATTATAGATAGGCCATAAGCAAACATATCAACACTCTACCGACAAATACTGGGCATATTTTAAACATTTCTGTAAAAGGCACTACCAATTATATTTAATTTAATTAAATCACCACCCACTCGTAAGTATAGACCATGCATGTATCTCACAAGGTGTTCTTTGCTTATTTCATTTGGTAAAAATGCACCAACTTTTCGATCATGCCTATCCAAGCGATACTCAGCTAAATTGCCCCCTCCATTTTGGACCGATCGAAAGTTGTCAGCTACGCTTGAAATTCATGCCGACTTATCACCGCCAATAAGAGATTGCGCTCAATGTTTGAGAACAACCTAAAGGTATTTCTCCTTTCTCCATGGGGTTTTATTATGTGTCTATGAGTTTAAGTGTGTTCCTTCGTGCAAGGCATGGTGGAGTACACAACAACATAGCGCAGCAAGATCGTACGAGGTTGCAGAAAGGTCTACTGAACGCGCCTCATGTAAACGCATTCGTTCGTAGCAACCAGATCAACACTCGCTTGCCCCGACTCCGCGAAATTCAGCTCGCACCGTTTCTCGTTCTTGTAGAAGTTGAACGACCGGCAGCGCGCGTCGCGCGAGCACGCCGCGGCGCAGGCGACCCGACTGCGCGCGCGTCTGGTTGCGATCACGTGGCCCTGGAGGCACATTCCCTCCTGAGGGCGGCCTTCGGTGTCGAGTCTGGCGAAGGTCGAGGAGGAGACCGCGGCTTGGTCCGTCTGGCTGGTTTCTTGAGCCTCGCACGGTGTCATTGGTTCCATGGATGTGGTAGTACCTGTGGTCGCGGTGTATACTTCTGCGATGGTGGTTGTGGCGTTTGTACCAGCCTTGCCTGATTCTGCAGTTGCCCCAAAAGACAAAATGACAAACAATTTATGAAGCAAAAACTACAAACATTTTCACTCGAATGGAGCATATAGTGGAGTAAGTTACTCTTTGGAGTTTAGAGAATAGGCCTACGTCACAACTTCTATAAAGGCTGGCACGCAGGGTGGTATAAGATTTACACAATAAGAGTGGAAAACAGCAAGATTAATTAAATGAAAATAATCAATTAAGTGAGTTTGTGAAGGCTCTGAGAAGAACCGGCTTGGCTCAACGTTTCGGACGGCATACTCTATCTGTCACCGCACCAGGAGACTAATGGGAGTTTAAATGGAGGTGGGGTACGAGTAGCCTTGGAGGAAGCGTCGAAGCATGAGTCGAGGTGCATTTACCTGCACGGACATATTTTGGTGCGACGCTGCGTAACGTGAACGCCTGATTCTCAGAAAGAGACTAGCCTATGTGTGAGTTATGCTTGTTTCATTATTGTGTGGTCATGCTAAAACAAGATGCCCTGTAAGACATGAGCCTGATATCAAAATCCATTTCAGGCAGGAAAAAAACAAACAATTTTGAAAAGTGAATCCGCTTTCGTACCTTGGGTCCCTGAAGGGATTGCGTCTGACGAGGCATCGAGTGTTGGATCCACAGAGGTGGTCTCAACTGGTTCTGGGGGTAAAGGGGAAGAAATTAAATGAACGGTTCCAATGACCAATTTCGTCGTTTGAGATTACAGTGTCGCACACACTTTTCGCCATCGAAGTAATGACGTAATCGTGGTCATGGCCGGTCGTCGGTTGACATAATAACGGGACCACGCGCTCTACCAAATATGACAGCCACCCACCAAAGCCTGCGTGGGGGGGTTCTTTGCAGACTATCCAAAGGCGATTAGCGTGGCGAAATTGTCCTAAAATCAGATCATCTTGTCAACTTTCGCTTCGACAACACAACACAACAGAACAATATTTCTTGGCACTGTTCACGCTATTCAGCGATACGAAGTAAATATAATTTGAAGTTTGTGTTCACTTTCCGCGTACTTGTTCATACATAATGACGTAATGCTTCGATGACGAATATAGACACAATGTTAAAGAATTTTAAGGGGATTTTTTTAAGGATATTCTCCAATCACCACACCCTATATAATTTAAAGGGCCACTCAAGATGAGGGCTACACTAAGAAGAGATAGAACAGGAAATCTAACAGTTAGGCCCTAAGTAGAAAAATAATAAGTAGATTTATGCCCAAGCAGACTTATGGCAAACGTGAAATTATTAGGTTTTTAATTACATTGCATACTAAAACATTTTAATTTAAAAGCCAATTTGTTAATCATATACACTTTGTGATTCTATCAGATTTTGAAGGGTAGTTGCAGATTAAAAAGTAAACTCCGCATCACCTCCGCTATGAGATGCTTAACTGTTAAGCGTGTAGCTTGCACACACAGTTAAGCTTTCAAAGCAAGTTCGCCTTCGAATATTTGCTAAGGAAAGTAAGGAATACCCTTGTCATCCAAATCCACCGCTTCCTTCTCACACACGAAGTTCCAAGGTATTGTACACGACGTAAGGAGTACTGCAGGTTCACCGATTGTGCTCAGATAAACACATTCTTGCTCCGAGCTCCGTACAGCCCTACTAAATGCATTCTCCCTACCTATAAATAAAAAGAAAAACAGATTTAAATATATAACAAAGACCTAAAGAGAGAGTTAGAGAACACGGAAAACTGACAAAAGGAATAATTGTACTGTTTTTTAATTGATCAATAATTTTATTCTGAACACAAAAACAAACAGTCGTATCGTTTTGGTTGATATTTAAAACTTATCAACGAAATCGTCGCGGTTTTTTGTTTGCTTGATAACAAACTACGATGCGGATAGATTTCTTTATTTTATTTTCCTTCAGATTCGACGTATTGTAGAACTGATATTAAGAAAACGTACCAAAGAAGTCAGGAACTTGTTTGTTTTCGGGACCATTACACGACCAATCAGCCACCACAAATCCCACATTAGGATTAAAACCAATAGTCAGTCGACACGTATAGCCCAAGATGACAGGGAACGAACTTCTGTCGGCGATGAATCTAGAAAGTCAACATGATAGTAAAATGATGAGTAAAAGGTTCAAAACGCAAAGTCATCAAGGATATAAAGCTAAAGTTATCAAACACTGAAATCGACTGCCACATGCGTCCAACTGCTCATGATAGAACCGAACAACCGCTTGAGACATGGGCGTCGCGGGAGGGGGTGGGGGCGCTATAGAAAAGCAAAAATTGATTATTAACTTAGTTCCGGTACATATTTAACAAAATGGGCGTCCAAGTGGTGTCAATGGGGATGGGGTGGGCAAATGTCCCCCCCCCCCCGCCGCCCACCCTCGAACTCGAAAAAAATGATAAACTGAGAATACAATTATGATCCAAAAAGTACAAGGATTTTTTACAAGGACATAAAGTCTCACGGTACGGGTAGCTGTCAACAACTTAATGTGTTGCAATTTAAAAGTGTGCGTGTACAGAACAGAGAAGTAAGCTCTTGAATTGATAATTAAATTGTTAGTTATATGTTTTTTACCCTCACAGATTCATTTCCGGCATCTCTTTTTTGCTATCATACTTCAAATACAATATTGCAGCCAATATGACCCCCAAAAGTGGTCAAATTTGAAACAAATCGTATATCAGCCAAAACTATGATAAAGGCATTAGTGAAATGATTAGATATATGTTTTTTTGTAATCCTTATAAATTAATTCAAGCATTCTTTTGATTTGCTACCATGCACCAAATTCAAGATGGCCGCCACTATGGCTGCCAAAAATATAAATATTTTCTCCTCACTTGTCATGCAAAAGTGCCCCGAAAAAATCACAAATATCCCCCGCGCATTAACCAGATTGTAAAACTTCTGGAGATGAAAAACTATCCCTCGAAAGCACAAAATAAAATTGTGCCCCTCTCGAGATGGGAAATTGACCATCAAAAAGCAATAGTGTTCCTCTCGCGATAACGTCTCGGGATGGAAAATTGCCCTTCGAAAGCACAACAGTGCTCTGCTCGCAACATTAAAACTGTACGTGCCCCGGCCCCCAGTTTGAAAAGCGTTCCACTGCCGCTGGCAGGCCCGTATTATAGGCTCAGTAGGCACTGTGCCTAGCTAGGCCTACGAAAAAATGAGGGGCCTACGAAAATAATTGGCCTACGAAATATACCACTGTGTGTCAACAGGCTTTAAGAGCTACCAGTTTGGACTGGCTTGCTTTGTACAGCCTAGTGCGGAGTAGGGCCTACGGAACACAGGTGACTGGGGCCTATACGGGACACTTAATCCGGCCCTGGCCGCTGGTTCCCAAGACTAGATTTGATTCATCTTGTTGATAGCGCCTGTACCACCGCCAAGTGAAGTCTTGGACAAAGACTATCCCTTAGCTAAGTTAATCAGACTGGCGTTCCAGAGACGCGCCTCACAAAATAGTTTTAAGTAGCTCCTCAGGTCCAACCAATACATGTTGGTTCCACACAGCTCGATTTTTTTTATTTTCTTTGAT